TTTTGGTGGTTTTAGAGCCAGAGAGGTATATTAAAAGAAAGAATTTCGAGATTTGGTTTCTCAGATTCATGGGTTCAGAACTTCTAGACAACTTCACTTCCACTGAAACGAAAGAATGAATAAGAAAATGATATGAACTTTCTGAGAAAACTCTTTCCCTTTCTAAACCAGCATTTTAAAAAAGGTGCGCGAAAAACCTGCATTAAATCTGCTACAACTTAGTATTTCCCTATCTTTTCCATTGCTAGAAATGAAGAAAAAATGAATGGAGTAAAATGGCAAACTCCGCTCCTAGAAGTCCTGATCTCCCCCCATACACGTGATCATATAGCTCATACGTACAGAAGTACAATCATGTATTTGTACCATTTGTTTGTAAATGCACCAGTTTTCGAGAAATGCTGATGTCTAGGGTAAAACGGTAAAAAATTATGGAACACCCTAGTAAAATTACATGGCCATGGATATTATCGTAACCAGTGGGGGAAATTGAGTATGCCCAATTCTTAAAAAATACGAAAAAGGTGACCTAAGTGGATAACGACGCTTTTTCAACAGAATCCGGATCCAAGTCAGTGGAGTCGCGGAGAGTTCGCGGAGAGCGAAGCCAGGGCTGCCCTCCGGACCTCGGAGGGGCGCATCGATCGCCAGCGGTGTGGCCTGAGAGCGGCGCTCACGGCACTACATGCCGAAGGGTATTGTTTTCTACACAGCTCAGCGCACAGCCAGCTTGACGCACGGACCGATATCTCATCGCGCGCGGCCCGACTGTGACGACGTCTCTTTTATGGGTTGTGCGGTGATTCGCCCACATTTCTCTGCCAACAAATGAAATTATCAAATAACCTAGTGCACAGCATGTCATTACCTCGTTTCCCGTCCGAAAATCTAATTTTCCGACGTTGAGTTCGCGCCCCGTGCACATCGTCAGCCATTAGTATGTAAATGTTTGCAGGTGTACTTCGATGGACTGCTTCCCTCATAGCTCTTTTCGTCTTTTTTTTATCCACTGCGTTCTTCATTTTACTCTTTTCACATGCAAGGACTTCGTATTAGACACCTTACGAAGTTTCTATGCAAAATATTGTATTCTTGACCACCATCACCTCCCTTTCTCGCTTCATGAATTTTCTATTTCAATATCACGCTGACATTTTCGAACGCTTATCATGTTTTCTTTAACTGTTTTCTCGCCGAATTATTTGGGAGCAGATTCATACTGCTTTGAACTAGCCTTGTCTCTGGGAAAAATCTGTGCTTTTTCTTCTCATTGATTATTTTTAGTTATGCTTTTTTTGCCTTTTACACTTCGATTAATGTATCTTTAGTCACTGCCCGTCCCGACTGCTCCAACGTTTCCATTTTTCTGACTTCAAGATTTTTTTAAAAACTGTTTCCCAAATTACTACGCTCACCCATGTCAAGTTCGCAAGTCCACGGTAATTCATGCTTTTTTGGCAAAACGAATCTTTTGTGACGAAGTGAACAAAAACTGACTACCAAAATTTTTTGAATCGACTCGAAATTACTTTCTACTAGAGCTGCTTTCAGAAATTTGCATAGTTCTTTGAATGCTTCAACTTTCCGGTTTTATTACTTTTTTTATTTTTCTTCTGCTATCTACTATTACTTTTTTTGATTTTCCTTTTGCTATCTACGTCGTTCTCTCTCAATCAAGTTGAGTCCTTTATGGCCAATATTACTTAACTCTTTGCTTTCTACCAATTTTCATATTTATCGATCGGCTCCTTTCCTTAAAAGAGTCAATAAAGCAGTAATTAGCTGCGTCGATTGTAATACTATCTGCCAGAGATAAAAACCACGGAAAAGTCAACTGTCCAGAAACTTCTAAACTTGATATAGAATTCCTAACTCATGGCATGAAATAATCAAGAACAAGTACACTCATTATAGTCTTCTAGAAAGCTATTCAGCTTCGCAATTCGCACGCGATCTTTTTGTTCTGCCCCCGGCTATCGTGTTACATCACGGAATTCATTCGAGAAACTTTTTGACAAAGGTGTGTAGAAGTTTTTTTCTTGAAAAAGCTTTTATACTACAGGCAGATTTTCTGAATATTGAAGATTCAACAAAATACGCTGTAAAAGATTATTGATTGGAATGGTCTCGTATTTTTTCAACACAAATTCAAAAATCATGTTAACTGAGGAAGACTTTCGTGATTGTGAGCTGAATCGGAATCTCTAGAAATTGCTGAGGAAGCGCAAAATTATGAAACAAGCGATTTTTAACTCTGAATTAAATTGCCGTGTAAAATTGTCGAGCTTTTTCTCTCGAGATTCGTTAGGTAATTTTAGAATGTTCTTGAAGAATATTGCTTTGCAACAAAAGCTTTTGTGAATAATAGTTTGAACTGCAGCCTACCAGGAAACAAAATCTGGCCCGCATCCTTGTTCTAGCTCCTTCTTTCAAGGGAAAAAAACTTCTCTTGATAAAGCTATCTGAAAACCTTGCCCTTCTCTACTAATCTTCTAAAATCGCCAACAAAAATAATAATTGCGCCTTGATTCATCGTTTATCTATGTTAAAGGCACCGTCCACCCAAAATGGAGGTTGGCGAGATTATGATGGCATAGTAGTGTGGGCTTCCACACTAGGCAAACTCCAAGCTTCGCCGCAAAAAACTGCTTCTGGAGCGAGAAATCCGCTCCGGAAGTAGCAAAGTAGGCGGGGCGACCATGGTCGCCCCGCCCACTTGCATGCTTTATCTCGCCTGCGCTTGCTGCAGTGTGTTCTCGAAACAGGGATTTTTTGGGGTTTCGCGGATTTTCGACTCCATATTCGGAGGCCTGAAAGCGACAAAAACATTGAATTCGAGATTTTGGGTGGACGGTGCCTTTAAGTCGCCTCTCTGCGTTCATAAACATTAAATAAGCGGACGCGCACCAAGCTAAAATGACTGCGTTTTAAGAAAATTCGCAGATAATATCTGAAATTCATTATTTTCGAATCTCGAAGAAGTATTCATAACGCTTGCATTAGTTGAAATTTTTGCAGTTTTTTCATAGCCACATCGATCGCTGGTCATTCCTCCCTCTTAAATTACTTTCTGAGACTTAATTCTTGGAAGAAATTTTTGCGAAGAAAACTTCAAATGATATCGTACGCTTAGTCTGCTCTTAATTAATCTGCTTAATTAATGTGTATCCATCCTTCAGTATTTTTGGTGGTAATTACTCACAAAACCAGACCTTTAAGGATGAAAATCATTTACGCCTTCTGACTTCATAGATTTCGAAATGCTACATCTGTCTGGCTCAACCCTAGTCTTGTCCTTGTACGCAAAAAGTCATTTTTGAACAACTCTTTTTCAATTGAGGAACGCTCACGAAACACTAGAGAAAGTCACTTGAATAATCCTGAAAGCTTCTTTTCAGTTCTCTGTGTGTCATGTTTTTTGGGCACCTGCTAAAAAAGCGGTGTGGGTGTGACTTTTTGCAGTATGGACAAGGGGATGGTGGCTGCGGGGAAAACATAGTAAGACAAGTGTTTCAATTCTGACACCTCAAGAACTTCTTCCTCTGTACTAATCTAATAGTACATAAATCGATTGCATGCGCTGAATGAGAAATTACAATGGCGTAATGATTTTTGACATCTCATTTCTAGCCTTTTGCCTTTTCCTACTCAATTTGTTCTTGGATGGATGGCTGTGCTGAAAAGTTTTACCTTTCTGCAAGAGATGAACTGTACGTTGTCCTTTCTCATTGTTTTATTAAGTTGTTCCAAAAGTAAACTCCTTTTTATAAATAGTTCATGCTGTTTTGTGTTCCTAGTATATCTAGGGTATCACTCAATAGAGCAGATCAAGCTCTACAAAATGATCGCTAAAGGTCCGCCTAATTCGCCTTCAATGTAAAGTCTTAAGCCAAAATCGGAAAAAAATTTTGTTACCTGAAAAGTGGATTTTTGCGAAGAAAAACCCTACGGATCTCCAACTTGGTCATTATACAGTAGGTACATATTAGTACTCAAATATACCTTTATTGGTTTTTTTTGCGCGCATAGAAAGCGAGAAAATAAGAAAGTCCAAAAATGGCAAACTCCGCCCCAGACCTTCTCACATATGCCATTGTATACTACAAGCCTTACTAAGTATATACTCAAAATTTTACCCCTGCATGTCTTATAATCGAGAAATACCAGGCTTTACATTTAAAAAAGCTCGAAAAAAGTGGCATTTTGGCATTTTGGGATCACCTTTGTTTCCCAGTTTCGAACCCCGGAAAAAAATCAACAAATACATTTTTGGGTACTACCATGTGCCTACTACATAAAGACCAAGTTGGAAGTCCGCAGGAACTTTCTGGAAGGAGATCCGATTTTTAGGGTAGCTGAAATATTTTGATTTTTGGCTGCAAATTTCACCTGGTTTACAAATTAGGTGGACCTTTGGTAGTCTTTTTGGAGAGCTTGCTCGGCTCTACCGAATGGTACCCTAAATCTGTCAAAAAAAAACAAAAACGCTCAAATTATTTGAAAATGGAGTTTACTTTTGGGACCTAATAGAGCGGCGAGCTCACATTTTCCCCGCTTCACTGACGTAGCTTAGTGAACGGAGTAGTGAAAAGGGCGGAGTTAGTGAAGAGGGCGGAGCGAGCCAGTCTTATTAACCGACTTCATGTTCATGGCTACAAGTTTTGACCAGACACTGCTACTAAGGAGAAAGAACTTACTTACCTTTGAAATTGGTTTATGTGAATGATATTTTAGGCCCCAATAAAACCCGTCAAAGAATGTCTATGAAATATATTGAATAAACTGCCAATGTTCTCTGCTCCAGTGCATTGAAACCTCTTTTTTTTCAATTTTTTCATCGTTCCCCTCCTTTCTATGTTGCACAAGCTAAATGTGCACAAATTTCGCAAAGTTCGCCACATCTGTCTTGAAGCGTTTTTGCTTGTCTCGGCTCTCATGTTTCCGCCATCGCCGCGGCCTCTTCTTATCCACATAGCCACTCGGCCGTGTCGAATCGTGTGATGATTTCAGTGTGTTCTTCGCGCGATACCTCCTCAAGTGGGACTCGACCGACTGTTAGAGGAGTGTGTGTGTGCTTTTGCGTGAGTGTATCGGATGCGTCTACCTCCATCACATTGACCGACGAGCTGCTGCCATTCTGCCACCACAACCACCACCACAGCTACCGCAACCGACTTCTGCTTCCACTGCTGTCACCCGCGCTGTTCAGTGCTGGAGTGCCGCCATCGCAGTGATGCCATGCGCTCTATCACTATCCTATTCATCACTATTTTTCTGCATATTCACGCTTTTAACAAGAATAGGTGCGTTTTTATATTGATTTGGTGTAATTTTACGTCTTTCTGCTCGTAAGTGCTCATTACACTTGGTGTAAACCAAGTCACACATTGCTGACACAGTGAGATGTCGTTAAAGCAGCTGACTTGTGTTGATTGGGGTGACATCGCGGTCAGGGTCCACAACGGGTTGGAATTTCTATAGTTCGAATTTTTTTTATCTCACCCCTCTCCATCGTTTTTGCACTGAACTACCGTAACTGGGATTCTAATCGATATATCGATCTGCTGGCTTGCTGGTAGCTTATGTACATATTCTCCTTCCAAACAAAATGATACATAGTGCTCAAATATATGCAATTCATGAATGTCTCATACTGCAGCTAAAAACTGCCAACCGACTATGATTCTTTTCGTGCCGGGAACTCGCTGAAGTTGCGAAAAACTAGTAAATCTTTACGTATTTAATTTTATCATAATGATGATAGAAATTTTGAAACTGAAAGATTGAGATAATCGGAAATTGGGAAGCATTATTAATATTAGAATTTTTTTCTGGAAAGGGATCATTGCTGTGCTTTTCGAACTTTAACGAATGCTGAAGGCTTGAATATTTTCCCAATTTTTACAAATCAATTCAAATCAATCAATCAATCAATTTTACAATTAATGCTTTGAATTCGCATATGTTTTGAGTCCTTTGAAAAACCGTGTACATCCTTCCTCTATCACTCCATTGTAGATTGAAGTGTTTATCACCATGTAGTCGTCTGCTGTGATTTTATAATGGAACTAAGGACAGATCTAGTTTTTATTCAGCCATCTGGAAGCTATGTATTGCACTTCTGGCAATTGTGACCCTCCAGAGAATATGAAAAATTATTAATGAGCGAGAGTGTTATAAACGCTCCATTGCATTAGATCTTGTAAACCTTGGCGTAAAGTTCGTTGTTGTGCATTTGAGCGAGTTTTCACACCTCGTTTCTCTTGAATTGAAGACGATGCTTGTAGGTAGCTCGGATCTCGAATGAATACTGTTGGGGAGTCTTGACAGCAGTGCCCAAGCGAGAATTCAAAAAAATATATTCTGGCCAGGGAAATTTATTCTAATCTTTAGCCCAGATCGTACTTTCTGCCTACTCCTAATTGGTCCGCTCAAGAGGAGTGCGGTCTTAAAAAAATTGATCAAATATTTCAACAATTCACGCAGAGTGCCATTGATTGGTGACTCAGTCTTTGAGAAATTCATTTCATTGGAAAACCCTGCTAAAATTTAGCGATTTGTAGATTGCCAAAGCCTCCAGAACTGCCTGATTAGATCTCACACTCTTCAACATTTCTTTGAACTTTTTCTGGTATTTTTTTAATCACAGTATCCATCCTTTCCTTACCAATCTTCTTCATAAAAGTCGTTTACCTTGGATGCTCAATCGTCAAATTATTTTGCTTACGCATTTCATAAATCTTCAGTTAAAAGCTTGCGTCAAAAGCCTCTCCAACTTGCAGCAGCCGCTAAGGCAATCCATCTTCGTTGCTATGGGGTTATCGGATTGCTGGCCTTTCCAAGAATAATCCCACAAAGTTTGAGGATGTTATTTATCAAAACAGAAAACTTATTATTTTCACGTTCACTGCACGTGACGTCAAGAAGGGTAGATGTAAGCGTAAATTGAGCGTAGCAATTCACAGTGCAAAAAAGTTTGGAGCAGGCCTTGATGTTCTCCATTTGGAACAAAATATACAATTTCCGCTATTTGACTATATATATTTTTCACTCTTTGTTAGAAACATGATAAAAAAGTGAAATTAGCTATATCCAGACAATTCGTCGGAATTTCCATAGGACAAGCAAAATTTGCAGCGGTTCGCAGGATTTTGTTTACTATTGCAGAAGTGAAAACGTTGGAAATAGGAACTTCCGCAGGATTTTTACGTCACACTGGCTAAAAAACGGGGACTTCCGCAACACTTTTTACAAAGCGCTGCGAAAATTGCGAAAATGCCGGCACTTCCGCAGCTCTTCAAATGCCAGTACTTCCGCAGGGTGAATGTGTTGTATCGTATGATGTTGTCTCGCCAACAACTAGAATGCATTATCGAACAAGTCATCCATAGTGCGTAGGTAAGCCTCACAGCCAATGTAGTAAGGTTCGAATCTCGCTTAGGTGTTCTCTTTTGGTTATGGTTCCCATTCTTCAGAACTCGCAGCACGTTTGCGGGACTTCAGCAGGTGACCCGACAGAACTTTCCCAAACTTCCTGCGGAAGTTCCGGTCCAGTTGTCTAAGTATAAAAAATTAACAAGAAGTTTATGCAGAATTGATCAACACGATCACGATATTACTTGACTAGCTGGATGATTTTCTCACTTTTTTCTTCACTGCGACTGCCCCAGATAAATGAATGAATAAATCAGTGTATTCCAAAAGCAAAATAGAATTGAAGGTATCTATAGAATACTCTTTGTGTGTAAAGGTAAAAAAAAAACAGAATGGTGAACATGAACGCAATTTATCACTTCTGCAGCTGACTATTGAGCTCTACAATCGGTCATCCAGACTTTTTTGACCTCTCAAGATAAGCAGAGGAATTAGTTTTTTTCGTACTGTAAGTACTCGAAGTTTTGGTGAGAAATGACGCGGTTTTGCAGAAGTTTACACAAAAAGGGAGAGTCGTATTTTTTTTCTACAAAGGTTATCTCACAATGTAAATTGCAAATATGAAATTACCAAAGGGAAAAAGCTCCCATACAAAAATGCTCAGCGAATGTTCGCCAGGCCACGGCACAGGTGGATTAGCAAGCAAGCTGGAAATCGTTTTTGGGGAAAAAGCAAAGGGGATATCGTTATTGCGGAAGAGCATAACGTTGTCTTTCGATCTGCGGCCGGCACGCTGCCGGCATGCCGCCAGCAAATAAACAAAGGGTTTGTTTACAGCGAAGTGAAGATGAAATGACACCAAAATAGGTGTGTAGATGGGCAATGGGGAGTTAGGACTAAGTATGAAAAATTATGAAAAAATTATGTGAACTAAAGGCGTGCTCAACTTTTTTCGGAGTTAGGTGGCTTTCGAGCCACCTGGATAGCCACCTGAGGTGGCTTAGGAAAGAAAAAGTCATAAATTTTTCATCCCTCACATAATTTTTGTACTTTCTTTACATACTTTTCATCTACATCCCAAACCCTAAAAACTGGTTCCTAAACCGCCTTAAACCCCCTTCTCCCCGCTTAGTTATAGCCCCTTGAAAATTTTGAATGGCGGCGGAAAGGCTGTTCTAGGCGCGTATTGCTGCCCGATGGATACATCATGCCTCCAATCCTAAGAATATGAATATCATCGCGTGTGTTCGATGGTTCTTTTTCGTTTTTTTTCCTACTGTTGCTTTGTTCCGTTCCTTTTCATGTATTTTCTCTTCGAATTCCTCGTGGCGGATGTCGTAATTTTATTGAAGTCAAAGGGGACTTCATTTTTCGCAAATTCGGGACGCCACCTCGTGCCGTGGTCTAGGGCCAAAGGGGACTCCGTAAAAAATCGAAAAGTCAAAGGGGACTTCGTTTTTTGCATTTTCAGCTAGCCACCTCGTGCCTAGCCCTGATGTTCGCATTTGTGCTTTTGACAGTGGCAGGGATTATTTTTTCGAATGCTCACCTAAAATGTTTTGCCAAAATTACAGTCTTCTACTCCTTGCGTCTATTCTAATGCTTACAATGGCCTGATCTCCAAGTACATGTTCTCTTCAAAAAGGTCAATGAGTTTGTTGTAACATTTTGTCGAATGCTTTTGAGTCTATTATCAGACTTCTTCGAATGTCTTCCAGTAGGAGCGCTCTGTGGAGGATATTATTGAGATGGAAAGAAAAGAATGCGGTTTTTTCGTTTTTTTTTTCACCTAGAATTGTATTTAAGAACTAAAGCATATCGAAGACCCAAATCTCGTTAAAGTCTCGAAGGTTTGTAAACACAACTGCACATATGGGCGGAGCTCAGGACTACTAGCGATGGAGTGTGCCTTTTGTTTTTCAATTTTTCTTGTTTTCTGATCGCGAAAAAATGTGACAAGTGCACAAATAGATAAGTGCATATGTTTACTACATGCTGGAGCAAGTGTGAGGTTCGTGGGAGGGCGACAATCCGATTTTTGGCACTGTGAAATGCTCTTTTGTTTTGGATTTGAATTTTGGATAAACCACGACTTAGGCTAATGCTCAGGTATCATCTTGTCATCTTGAAGCTTGCTTTGCTCTGTGGAATGCCCTTCACAAATTTCCCGATTCATCGTGTTACTCTGCTGTAAAAAACGACATTCTTTTTTTCCAACGTATTATATTTTGTTCCATGCTTCCTATAGGACTGTTACAACATTACGTGCTTTTCCCAGTGGTTTTCAATTTCGCTACCAAGAACTTTTCTCAAAACAACTTAAAACCTTTACCTTCATCTTTTACGTGCTCTTGAATTAGTTGAATGATCGATAGAAGTGAAGAGGAGCATCCACTTCAACACTCTAACAACTCACCGACGCAGTCAACATTGTCGCGATAGAATAAACAACGATGATGGAATAGCTGGGAGTAGGAAGGGAAATCTGTTGATAAAGGGAAAATTTCAGTTTGCTTAATATTAGCTCACAAAACCTCCAAAAAACATGCTCTCAGATTCTTATGGGGCGTTTCAGATTTTTGACTATTTATTTTCGAAAATCCGGGACTTTGAGTGGCTTTCCTTTTCTGATTTTTATCTCTGGAGTCACCTGTTGTTAAGGAGTCGCAGAAATTCTGCTAGAAACTGGACGAATTTTTCTATTCGAGGATATTTTTTGTAGAAAATTTGTTTACATATGGAGCAGTTACGAATTTTTGCAAAAACAAAGCGACAGAACTTTCGGACAGAACAATCTGATAACTTCAATTTTTTCCTTTCAAGGGAAAAATCAGTGGTGATCCGCTGTAGAGTCACACAACTGCTTTATCACGTGTATCGGTATTGAATTTCGATAAAATTATTGTACTGTTTCCCATCTGCGATAGATGATTACTGTAATTGTACTGTAGGATCGTCACAATCTCGCTTGAAGCACAAATAATCGTATACCGGAAAAATCAAATCACCTCAAAATCTAAACATTTATTGCGTTTTCAAAACAGATTGAATCTTGATGTGTCAGCTGTCAATACGAAAAAAAAAACAATTTGTAACATTTTGATTTCATCTAATATATAAAGAAAAATTGTAAGGTGCATTCAAAAACATTGAATAGCGGGAAACCGAGCGGGTCCCGAAGCGAGAGTGCCTGCAGTTAGCACTTGTCAGATTACTGGTTCACTAGTACACGAAAAACTTCGAAATTTTTTCTGGTTCTTGGGAGGAAACATAATTGTCTATGCTACATCTTTGACTTTTTCAGCATAGAAGAATGCGCTCGAGTGCTCAGCGAAAATTTACAGGATACATTTAAACGGGTAACAAAAAGCGACCAAATTATTCAGGTATACTCCGCTTTTTTTGTAAAAGCCTTACCATTTTTGGATAATAAAATAGCAGATGTTTGTTTCAGCTTTATGACCAATTTGTTGAACCGGAACAGTTCGATCCACGAGAAGAACTCAAACGAAGTAAAAATGCCATTGAAGAATATCTGAGGAAACGGGCCGAATTTGCTTATGTGGGTAGTTTCAGTTTCTTTTTTTTGTTTTCCTTTTTGTTTCTGCAAGAAATTTTTTCACTGGATGGGATACTGGACAGTTCCTTTGCCAAATAACTAGTTTTTGGCTAGTTGTTCTCATTTTCAGAAGGCAAAAGTGTCTCTAGAAGTTCGCGAGATTCGAAACGCCAGTGATGAAGATGTAAATGATCCAACATCGAAGGATTTCATTCGTTTCATGTCAGCAAAGCGAGGGAGTGATGCTACCACGATTCATTTCCACGATCACACCTTGCGAGAAATGAAAGTCAACGAAACTCGGTAAATTTTTTTCACGTCCCTGTTTTTTCTCAAAAAATGCCTTCTACAAGGGAGTGGGGAAAAACGGATTATTTGAGCATAAATATTGCATAAAAAACGAAAACAGTAATCGCCATAGTTATACAACAAATCAGTGGTATACCATACGCTCTATCACTGACATGTTACGGTATGTTAAGGGCCGGGCATACTTCACGCGACTTCAGTCGCGAGGCGATTTGGCAATTCGCCAAAACTTTTTAGATCCAACACTAGCGAAGTACATATGCATAGTATGTGTAACTTACTAAAATTGATAAAATGCTTTATCTTTTGTACATTCAAAATGTGCTTACCATGAGTTATGGACAGTTGGAATGTTGCCAAATCGCGTCGCGACTGAAATTGCGTGAATTATGCCCGGCTCTTTATAATAATCCGAATTTTATACCTGCAAAGAATGCAAATATTTTTCTTTGTACTATGCATTTTATATTTGAAAATCAAATAAAATCAGTATTTTTATGAGTATCATTTAAGACTCTACTGCACTCTTACTGTTACTGTATATGCTACGGTAACCTACAATATCAAGATTATTTTCGTAATATGATAGGGACTGTTTTTGGCGCATCACCGGTTACATTTGAAAAGCGATAACAAAACTTTAGTTTTCATAAATACACTTTGCATTTGAAAGCGATAGCAACAGTACCACAAACAAAAATCTACAGTAAATTCCAGTAACTAGAATTTCATTTTCTTCCAACATGGAAAGGATACTTGGTCGAAGTGGCGTTTCTATACGAAATGTATAACCCTTGATTCAACTGACTTGGCTTCGGGAAGGCGGAGCTCTGTGACCTGATTAAGGCTGCTCTCGCCTGCGTCTCTCTCGCGCGAGTGCTCTCTGATCATTACCTAGCCTTAATTAGGTCACGAAGCCCCGCCTTCCCGAAGCCTAACCAATTGAGTCAGATTTCACTATCCTATCGAGCTTAGGACGCTGATTCCAAATCTGTTTTTTTTTTGAACTGCAAAGCGCTTCCGGGAAAGGATTTTTGGGAAGGTAAAAATTTAATGACGTGTAAGGTTATAGGAAAACGAAACTTCGACCAAGTATCCTGTCGTTGTTGTAAGACCATGACACAAATCATTTCTTATACAATATATTTTACACATGAAAATCAATAATTTGTTGGTGTAATACAGTATCGTCACCTTATTAATACAGTATGTTACAGTAATTATAATCTCACCGCCGCTCCCAATGCAAACTTTTACAATCTCAACACCTCATCGATAGCCTCAGCTGTACATATCCCGACACCACTCTATGATCGAGGTAAGCAAATCGTGCTGTATGCAGTGTAATTGCAGAATTAACGCAGAGACCACTCATCTCTCACTTTATTATTTTTTTCCAGATCCAGACCTACTGAAGAAAATCGAATGGTCCGAGATTGACGAAATTTATCGCACACATCGTGAGGAAACACGAGATCTTGCGTTTCAGTTATTCTGCTCGGAAAGTGGCTATATGCGATTTTTTCCTGGTATTTACAGTTAAATGTACTTCAATCAATATATCGAAGTTTTGCAGCTTCATCATGGTTTTATGACAATTTCGATGAACGTTTGGATTTGTTCGATTGTAGAAATACACAATGGTAAGTTTACTCTTACCTAGCTGCTGGCACTGGTGGTTAAAGGCACCGTCCCCATTGAGCTTTTGGCAGCATGTTATAGTAGGGCCTCCTTTCAAGACAATTTCCAAGTCGCGGAGCAAAATGTCGCTTCGGAAGCGAGAAAATCGCCCCAGAATAACGAAGAGGCACGAGGGACGAGGCGGCACCGCCCTCCCCATCCATGCCCGCCCATCCTTGCGCGCCCTTCCATTCACCATTCCGGAAAGCCAACCTGTCGGTGTTTTCGCGGATTCTCGATTTCATATTCGGAATTAGGAACATGAGAAAGTCCTGAAACGACAAATCCTGGAAGTCGAAAATTTGGGTGGACGGTGCCTTTAAGGAATTTCTTGCGGGGGAAAGGAGACGAGAGTTTTTGTTAGATTAAAGAGTATGGTGTTAGCGGCAAACTCGAGAGAATTTTTGGGAGATTCCTCAGAGTTTTCATAAGCTTGAAAGATCTAAGATCCCCAAAGAAGGGGCGTTAAGAACCAGAATTTTTGCAGGGCGTTAAGAACCAAAATTTTTGCCAAGTTGATGATAATGAACCAAAATATCTTAGAGTTCACATGAAGAGATATTTGCACCGTCTTCTATCTCACGTACACAACTTCAAATTTTTGCAACTATTCCCCTCTCCCCCCCCCCCCTCCCTCCACTCCCTCTTGCTACTTCCTCGTCGCCTATGGAACATCCAGTAAAAAATACATGTTCAGGTATATCAATGCAGCGACAAACTCAAAAAACGTTGTGATTATGCTGGATGTATCGGGATCGATGTTGGGACAACGCTATGAGATCGCAAAGCAGACCACCGAGGCTATATTGGAGACACTTAGTCATCACGATTACTTCAACATCCTGCCGGTGATTTTTTTTATGCTTTCTTTTTTTTGCTGATTCAAAGACACCTCCCAAAGCGTTCAAAGGCTTGGAGACGTAAACAAAAATTCTTGGGAGTGTAGTTTTTAACAATTTTGGCAGGAATTTTTGCGGAATTTGGCAGACTTCTGCAGAAACAACGCCAATGTTTTTTTTTCTCGAAGTTTCCATGTACCTCTTGAAACGTTTCTTGGCATAAGTCTTATGGTAGGCTTAAGGAATTTAGGCACTGCTCTTTTTTGGTATGGAACTTCCACAAAATCCGAAGTGAATGATGCAAAAGTTGTAGATAGCACTTGATATCCGCAAATCTTGAAAAATCTGCGTAAACTCAAGCTAGTGCGTCCTTCAAAATAAATTTTTTAGTTCTCCAAAACTGCTGATTTCATTGACGATTGCAAAGGTAAAAATGGTCTTTTGCAAGCTACGATGCGCAACAAGAAGGTATGTTCACTAAGCTTAGTACTTCAATAAAAGTTTTTATAAATTTTATAGAGTGTACGCAAGAAGCTGAACAACGTCACAAGTGAAGGAAAAGCCGAATACGAAAATGCTCTAACAAATGCATTCACAGCGCTATTGAATGTGGGTTCGCAAAATTTTGCTGCGCAGTTCAGTTAGCTTTTCTTTCGCATCAATAGGTGGTGTCCAGGCAAAGTTGGGTCTTTAATTGAATTTTGAAAGTTGAGCGGAAGGCTTTAGCTAAACAATTGTCCAAGCGTCAGTTCTTAATACTGATTCGTGGCTGAAAATCATTTGCGAGCTTTCGCCCACTACCGTACTCTTAACCGATCGTCTCCCAACAGTACGGTACTGGGCGACAGTTTATAGCTGCATTTATCGTTCACGAATCAAGTAAACGGGATGCCGTTTGGACAGTGGCTTAGTCAAACCCTGCAAATCACTTTCCACGTAGGAAGCCAAGATACCCGAATTGTAGGAAGCCAAGATACCCGAATTGCCTGAACTCTTTCGTCACTAGCATTCTAAACAGTTGCTAATTACATTTGCAGATATGAAAAAGCATAATTTCTGTGCTGACGTCATCGTCAAGTTCATACTTCCGTGTCACTGTGTCCTGGGCTTGAATTTTACGTCCTATGACTTCGAGCACACAAACGCTTTCGTGTCGCTAACATCTTGTTTAAAAAGTAGACTTTGGCTGCTGCTGTCCGCTTGTCTCGCTAAATCTTTGTTGCTAACCGTTATGTTGCTTTCAGTGGCTTATTATGAAAATCAGAAAAATCAAGCTTTTGTCTCGCCTATATGTCCACAAATTCCTATTTTGTTCCGCTTCAAATGCTAGAGAATTGGTTACGGTATCGTTACCGTACCCATCTAACGCTGAGTTTTGCTTCTGTCTAGTTGCCCGGTCGTTACGAACTGCACACTCGCGACGAAATGGCCGTGATGTCGTCGAATTCGACGCAGGAACGGATTCACGTCGTGTTCCCCGAACACGTACTCTCCGCCGATCCAGAGTACATCGAGGCAGTGAGTGGCCGTAGCCGAACGCATCCGCATCTGCACACGCGCACACATACACACACGCACGCGCGCACGCATGTGTCTTGTTTTTTTGCACTTTTTGTTGTCCAGCTTAGTGGCATGCATTTTTTGGTTGTGAATGTGTATATAAATGTATCTTTGGACTGCAAACTTTTCCCCTTCCCCAAAGAACTCAAATATGAACGGTAACGCCAAAAACCTCACGTCTTCTCGAAAGTAGATCAATAATATCTCAAAGAGGCTTAATGGGGTTGGTTAAAACGGGAGCAAGCGTGCCGGCTCGGCCTCTCCACAGACGATTGGCTGACTGGTCAAGCGTCCCCGCCTACCTCGACAGCCATTGGCTGATCACTTCATCAGCCCCTCCCTTTCAAACTTACGCGTTTTGAAAATTTGATTGTGGCCTAGGCTAGCAACCAGAACCTCAAATCACCAGAAAACTCAAAATAGGTACATAATACTTTCCCAGAATAGGTACATTGATACTTTCCCAAAAGGCTCCTGGTTGGAAGGGGGCGAGCTTGTCGCCCTCCCCCCCTCTCCCTCCCCCCACAGACCATTAGCTGAGTAGTCAAGCGTCTCCACCTACCCCTCAGCAGCCATTGGCTGAGGAATTTCACCAGTCCCGCAATTTTCTAATTTTTAGCTTCCAAGTTTCGCTGCCTAGCAACCCAGAAGCTTAGACCTGGTAGAAAATTTAAGTATCAAGTTATCGTTAGGCATTGATTTCAATGAAAAAAGTTTTCAATTATTTTTGGTAAAAGTGAAATTTTTTATCTGTAAAGCAATTTTCCCTCTGCTGGTATAGTAAAACTGGAATTTTCATAAATTGTTTTGTATTTCAGGTGACTCGGGTAGGTACTTCTAGTCATCCAGGGCGGTAACTGCATATTGTTACCATAAACGGTAAAAGAGCAAACTAATGGTTGAAGACTTTTGGCTAACCTAAAACGCTAATATAGTAGTAATTATGGCTAAACAACGAAGAGACGTAGAAATATGGCGAATAGTACATATGATTTAGCTCGATAACTAATTTTGGGACCAGTTTTCGTTTCTTCGACTTTCTTTCTAGCAGTTATTGTGATAAAATTAAAAAAAACCGTCCAGGTGATCGCATCTATCACTGCAATGCCAAAAATGGAGATTAATGTATAGTACTGTTTCAGTATCACTAGTTTTGGGCCGTCTTGATAATACTGACATCGCTCAAGTCTTTAGTTCTTTTCTTCGTAATATCATGTTCACCACATCTACCGCTGCATGCCCCTCTCCTCTATATATGTATGGATATGGACCATGTACTACAGAGTGGAGATTGACAATGGATAACTGTTCCTAACTCTGTATGTTACAGCTAACACTCTTATTGTCGGTTGTATAAGTCCCATTATGTAGTACATACTCCTTTATCCCTTTATGTAGTGTACCTCTGTCGTGTCCTTCCTATCCATTCGCAACACTCTTTCCAAAGAAGAAGATTTGCATTAAACGCACTGGAATGGAGTGGAATCCATGAGACATCACCTTGTATTTAGACAAAGCTTGAGTTTTTAGATCACCGCCGAAAATGGTCGACCCGATCAAGGATGTGAAAATGTGATTATGCTCATCACCGATGGTGCTCCGAAAGACTATAAAAGCGTTTTCGACTTCTACAATAAGGATAAGAAGGTTAGAGCCCGAACTGGCTATGAGATTTTGGGATGCCCATTTCTTCTTGGAATGTCGCGCGTTTTTGACTATTTTCAATTTGCCATGAGCTACCGCAGCCCCTTGTAAGCAGCAATCGATATATCTATTATCTAAACTAAAACTGCCGCAAGTCAATGTCAGCTACAGTCAACATATCGATTTTATTAACTCAATGTCGATAGCTCTCAGTCATTGTACCACTTTGATGTCCTGGTACCACCGAACCTAACTTTAAGTGCTCCTGTGAATATATTATCGATTTTCACTCCATAATTGAATATTTGAATTCTGATCTATGTTTTGCTCAAAGGCAGCGTCCACCCAAATCCACTCACCCCAGATCACCACTTTACCAGCAGGCCCTTAAGTAGACCAACCGCTTTGGTCCGGTCCACTAATGTTGTCTACAAGAGGATACGAACCTGGATCCTCCTTGCGCTCGGCCCCCTTTTGCGCTCCGCCCACCCACGATTTGCCCCATGACGTGTTTGAACTTGACAAGCAACGTCGAGATGCATAGTTTGTGATGTGGTACTGTTGCACACGACGAGGTTTCCTGTTGCATACGACGTAACTAGCCACGGGGATCTCGTCCACGTCTGCCAAAATAGGGCTGCAGGAACGAAGTTTGAAGCATCTGATAATTTGAATCCCACATCCGAAATCAACGCCATGGAAGGCCCTATAACTGTTAAAACATGAAAGGCAAAATTTGGACGCTGCCTTTAAAAGCCTCTCTGTTCTTGTATAGAATGCGTATATGCTAAGATTTTTGGTGAGGCTCTGCGGAGCACATGCTTCAAATATGAATTTGGTCATGATTCTGGTCAACTTGCCTGAAAATTGGTCGACGAGTTTCGTTCAGATATTTTTCTTGCGTTGAAACAACCCGATCATCCCTCCTGACAATGTTTGATCATAATATTGTTCGATCAATCTCGTGAGAAACTTGTGAGCAAAAATTTTGCGCTCAATTGGCGCTAAGCATTCTCACAACAGTTGCTACTAGCCGCTTTTATAATTGTATATCGGGGTAGAGGCGTGTTTATTAGCGAGTGTAGACTCTTCAAAGGGTGCCTCGGTATGTTACTGTAACCGAGAGTGTGAACTGTGACCTTAGGTGGTCACCGTGTGAACAAGAGTGAGGCGAGACCTCCCAGGTGGACACTGGCCGGCCAAAAGTGAAGGTGGTAGTGCCGGACACTCATCTCCCAAAAACGTCGACCGGGGGGGGGGGGGAGCGTTAACGTAGACTGAGCCTATCCTTCCAGGTCGTTGCCGCCAGTGCGCGGAAAATACGCAAAACAAACGCAAAAATAGATTATTGGAAGCATATTTTTATGTATACGGCGGCATATGTGTATATTTAAAACTAGTTGGCAAACCCGGCTCCGCCCGGCCCTATTAATAACATATTTGTAATCAGCATGCTCGATTACCCCCTGTGCCAACTCCCAGCCCCGTAGCTCAAATTTTGCAAAAAATCGATAGAATTGACATCGATCGATAACGAAAAGTAGCCTATGACACGCTCCCCGCCCCGAAGTATATGTGTGCGATGTTTGTTCCAAATCGGTTCAAGAATAAAAATTTCTATTCCGCACATACGTACAGACAGACATACAGACACACATTCAGCCTCATATATGTAAGATAGACGTGTTTAGTAAATGGTGTGTTTTGAAGTGAAAGTCAGCGAGACTTCACAGATTTTATCAAGTAAGTTTTGCTATAACGTACTGCGAAGGAAGTAGGTCGATCCAGGCAGTAACCGCCGAGAACCAGAATTTTGAATAATAAAATAACGATAAATTATGCGAAATTTTTACTGTTATAAATCTGGTGGTTGAAGATGTCAGCAATTGCGACTTCATAATTTTTGAAGGGCAAGTGTTGTTCTACGAGATAGTGAAAGAATTAGGTCGATCTGAGCAGTAGCCGCCGAGAACGAGAATTTTAAAAAATTAAGCGATTTTAGGTTACTTAATGACAGCTGACGTCCAGACTCCTATAAATCTGGAATGTGAAGATGTGCAATGTTGAGGCTTCATAGGTTTTACAGAGTAAGAATTGCTCTATCGGACTATGCCTTAGCCTTATTGATCCATCAAGATACCGCCGAGATTCAGGCTCTTAAAAAAACAGGTGAAAAACCGCTTTTTAAACTTCAACAGCTCATAACTTTTTCAATAATGCATAAATCATGTTGCGACTTCATAGGTTAGATTCTTCTCATCAAGAGCTTTCAGAGGATGTATAATATGTGGGGGCGTTCTATGATTTTTGCGGCTCTAACCCAGGGTGGAGACTTTTCACCCCAAAGTCTCCACCTTGCCCATGTTAATGTATTGGCCGGAAACCTCCAGTGGAGACTTTGGGGTGAAAAGTCTCCACCTCCGGGCATATGCCGTGAGAAGCGCGAAACCCCCACATATTTTATATCATCTGAAAGCTCTTGATGAAAAGAATCTAACCTATGAAGTCGCAACATGATTTATGCAATATTGAAGAAGTTATGAGCTGTTGAAGTTTAAAAAGCGGTTTTTCACCTGTTTTTTTAAGAGCCTGAATCTGGGCGGTATCTTGATGGATCAATAAGGCTAAGGCATAGTCCGATAGAGCAATTCTTACTCTGTAAAACCTATGAAGTCGCAACATTGCACATCTTCACATTCCAGATTTATAGGAGTCTGGATGTCAGCTGTCATTAAGTAACCTAAAATCGCTTAATTTTTTAAAATTCTCGTTCTCGGCGGCCACTGCTCAGATCGACCTAATTTTTTCACTATCTCGTAGAACAACACTTGCCCTTCAAAAATTATGAAGTCGCATTTGCTGACATCTTCAACCACCAGATTTGTAATAGTGGAAAGTTCGCATGATTTTTTCGCTATTTTATAATTCGAAATTCTGGTTCTCGGCGGTTACTGCCTAGATCGGCCTACTACATAGATATATGCTTTCAATACTTTCTTTTGCGTTCCTTTTGCTTATTTTCCTTCTTTTAAGCTTCAGCAAAAAAAATTTTTCAAACCCAAAAGTGAAGGTGGTCACCCCGTACCAGCTCAAAAGTGAAGGTAGGCGGAGACTCGGCTCCGACTATCGCACCTCTACGTGCAAGTGGTACCCGGGCAGCACTGCTGCCGCAGCCAGCCGCCAGAACTGCCGGCAAAGCCGCTGCAGATGGTACAGTAATTATGCTAGTCGTCTAAAACTCTTGCCGAGAGGTTTTCTCGTACCTCGTCGCTCTGAGGTGCGAAATCAGCCTCAGGAAAGCGTGATATCCTCGATATCATTTTGAACAGCAAAAATTTCATGTTTTTTAAGAAACATGCAAATAAACAAATGAGTAGAGGAGGGTTTTTCTAGAGGAAAATGATTACAAAATTAAATCGCTTCAAAAACTTAAAGAAAGCAGAAGCTGAAAAAATTAGGAATTGTCAATTTTCTGGAGATTTTTTTCGCTTTCACGTCGAAGAATGGACGAGAACAATTACAGGAAAATGTCATGGATGTAAGGGTAAGAAAACTATGTCAAAATGGTTACTTCATACATTGAACACGTGATCATTTTCTTTTAAATTTTAATTTTAATTGTTACTTGTTAAATTTTCTTTTAAAAAACCTCTTCCCTGTTTATCTTTGTTTATTTGCATGTTTTTCAAAAAACATGAATTTTTTGCTGTTCAAAATAACATAGATATAGAGGGTATCAGGCTTTCCTTAGACTGATATCGCACCTCAGGGCGACGAGGTGCGAGAAAACCTCTCGGCAAGAGTTTTAGACGACGAGCATAATTACTGTACCATCTGCAGCGGCTTTGCTGGCAGCTCTGGCGGCTGGCTGCGGCAGCAGTCGGCTGCCTGGGTACCACTTGCTACGCACCCCAGGTGGGCGCATGGCAGTCGTGGCCCTCCCACTCGGCTATGACGTTATATGGCACGGATAGCAGGAATCATCGATCGATCAATGGTACTCCGGCTAGACAAGGGGATATCTTTGATTCAACTGGTTGAGGTCCGTCAGGGCAGGCCGCTCGCGCCCGCGACGCACCTGCGTCTCTCGCGCGCCAGTGCTTTCTGATCATTACCTAGCCTTAATTAGGTCACGAAGCCGCGCCTTTGCCGAACCTCAGCCAGTTGAATCAGCTGTACATATCGTCGAGTCATTTCTAACTTAATATGCGTAGTGCACACCACACACGCTAACTGACAAACTGCGAAACTAGAACTGCTCATTTCCGCTGATTTCTGGGAAGTTACTAGTATGGGCGCCTTCGAGGGCCTAGTCTGAAGTCTCACATATTAAGTTACAAATGACTCAAGGTTACATGTAGTGAATGATAATAATCGCATACATAACTAGCACAACTGCATCTTCATAGAGGTAGGAAATATACGTTGTAGTTGCGACGTTGACTGAGTTGTATGGCTAGTCGTTGAGGGGTGAACCTTTGGAGTAATGACGGAAGAAGCTGGTAGCAGTTGTAGTGGATGGTGGCAGTTGTAGGATGGTTGAGGTGGCAGCATGTTGAAGACGACGGCGATTGAAGAGAAATGGCGGGTGCAGAAAATCCAGGCGACAAGAAGTGCTACAGGAATCTCTCAGCTGACTATGATCGAAATCATAGGACTGAGAAGCACTGTAGCGCCAAATATGTCGGTGGTTCTAGGCTTTACTGTAGTTTGAGACTAAATAGCGCCTGTTGGAGATGGTGTATAGAACACATTAGCTAATAAGCTTTATGAACGACGTGCGCGTATTAATGCAGTGGTAGAATGCTGACATATAGGCAGCATGGTAGAGTGACATAACAGAGTATCAAAGCAGGTTATACTTGTGGCATGACCCGTACGGTACTTCGGTGAGATTAAAGTTACGGTTGTTAAGAAAATGCCGACAGTGGCGGCACATTCCGGCCATCGGGAGAATTGTGAACAGCGAAATGAATCACAAGTACAACATGGGGGTGCCGTATATCGGCACAGTGTTGGCGTTTAGCTACGCCCACGCGGACAACCGCCAATAATCACAATATATTTATCAGGATGAATGGTAAAAAATGGGACATTTGAGGAACAACTGCGGATTTTACAATAAAGAGATTTGATGCTTTAGTTTTGATAGATGTAAGAACTATTCTCGTTCAGCCAATATCTATGTATATAACATTACCACGCTTAATAAATTTTATCATCGGTGAGGTGCAAAGTCAATCAAATCTACAGACTGCCTTAGAGCAGTATCTGCGCATCTAATAGAGCTCTTTACGCTCTATCCATTCATATGCAGCTTACCATGATTTTCATTCGTTTTCGGAATATGTAAGCTAAACATAATTTTTGGTCTTTCTTGCACCCTAGTCGCAACATTTTAGCTTTTCTACGTGAAAACAAAGCGAACTTCTGAATGCGCGCTATTTTATTCCAAAAGAGCCCTTCAGCTCTTTCGAATGAATTAATTAATTTGTAAGTCTTTGTAAGTCATCTGCAACCCTGTCTTCTTTGAGGAGCCACGCCAAGGATTGTGAGAGAGGAGGGGTAGGGCGTTACCAGAATGATACGCGAAGTCTGCTTAACCTGCTTGTTGTTGATCAAAACAAAAAATCTCATGTAACAAATAAAATGTCCAATTCATTTTCGCTCAGCCCAATATAAAGTTGCGCGTTTGTGTCAAATGTCTGCGCGCGCGAATTCTATTGGTGACTTTTAAGCTCTTTAGTTATACTATGTTCTTTTAAACCTGTTATCTTGAAGCGCGACGCTTTTTCAAAATTTGCATTGTTTAGGTCCGCTTCTTCTCCTTCCTCATTGGTGAAGAGGCCATCGACTTTGAGCAGGTCAAACATATGGCATGCAATAATCGCGGTTATATGGTGCATGTGCAGAACATGGCTGATGTCGAGGAGAAAGTGCAGGTAGTGTCAGGGTTTTTTGCAAAAGGCGTGAACTTAAAATTTTCTAGAATCTCAAAAGTTAAATTGTTCACATTCCAAATTTTTGTTGTATTAGGTTGTTGCATAAGTTCTGTCCGATCTAGATTTTTTGAGTTCAAAATGTCATAACTTTTTTCAAAATCAACTTTTTTCCAAGATTTTAGTTTCCTTGTGTTGAGCAATTCCTTGGCTCTCAGACGCACATTGCATCCTGCGAGAATCCTTGTTAAAGAAGAAGCAAGAACTCAAAAACTTCACAGCGTTTTCTTCAAACTTGTCATTTTTGACATGGCAATGCTCCCTTATGAGAATTGCTAGGCATCTTGTCTAACAATAATAATAGATAATAGAGAAATAATAATAGATAAATAGAGAATTTTTCATAGATTATTTTGCACCATAAAAGAGCCCACCAGCGTCTGCGCTGCCGAGAGATTTTTTTGACCGAACAAAAAATTAGCCACTTTTTGACCTCGTTTCAGTGCATGTGTGCATGCCTATTTACTACGAATTATGAAAATTTCACAGTTCACGTGAGCGCCGAAAAGAAATTGGTGGAGGGTCTCTGTTAGCCCTTGCTTTATCCTAGCACTTCCAACTTTGAAGTCGTCGATTACTTCTATTCGCAGAAAGTTATTGCTTGTAAAAAATTCATGCAAAAAAATAAGGGACAGTAAATTTTACTAGCAAGACGTTCTCTTCATGAAACTGAACTTATGCGTATACTAGCCTATTACACTTTTAATCCGCAACCAATCAAAAAACTTGACCTGAAGGGCGCATTGTGGAGATTCTTGCAAGAACATATTTTTAGGGTAAGAACGTTCCTCGGCTACTTGGAGATTTTAAGCCTGAAAACTTCTTACACTAAGAAATTTGTTGAAATTTCATATGCTTTAGAAAGCGCAAGAAAAGCACTTGCTAATGACACTAACAATACCGCATTAGAAATGAAATTCTCTTAGAACAGCTGCTTAAAAGATAAGGCAAAAAATCGGACAGAACTTATGCAACAACCTAATAGATAAAAATCTACTATTGATCTTCATAATTCGTATATTTCAGCACTACATTCGCACCATGTCTCGACCTATCGGGCAAAATGCTGGAGATGTGCAGGTCGATGATGCCATGTGGAGTGGAGTTTATCGCGAACGATTAGTAAGTTTTGTGCTATTTTGTGATTGTGGCTTCAGTGCTCCTAATCACCTATATCTTATCCGAAAGACCATGTGCTCGCCTTCTATATACGACGCATCTTAGCTCATTAAGCCTAACGGCCGACATATGGCACAAAAAGGGCCACAAGAAAATATACCACCGCAAGATATACTCCTGCTTAAACAGCAGCTCAATGCGGGGCGAACGGCGCGGTTCCATGCTGCCAATACCGCGCGTCTCCTTAAGTAAAGGACATCAGATCGCCAAAAGGGGCGGTTCGCGAACATTTGCAACAAACCGCGCACCTTCACCATCACTACATCATGTTATCTGTCCGCATTGGGTGGAGCCTAATGGCGACCTATCTCCTTTACCCCATCCTACTTGAATCTCATACGAGTAGCCCAGAGGCTTTACATATCCGCGTCGCTAAGTTTAGAACAAGGACAACTGCCTCTTTTCTTCCTCTTTCAAGATAGCATAGTAGAAGTTTGGCTCGATTCGGCCAAAAACCTAGTCATAAATTGGCCAAAAATCTAGTCATTCCCCGCTCACTTCAAAAGAGATCTTGTCAGATCAAGGGAACTTATCCAAAGCAAGAGCCTGAGGCAACAATGCGGTACGGAAGATTGATAAGAAATATAAGAGATGCCAAAATAAGGCGCCATCTACATATAAGCTTAGGTTGGCAATGCGCCAAGCAAGTAGAGGTCCAGAGGCGATTGCGGCAATAGCCATCAGTACCGGGGTGGGGGAACGAAAGCCGCCAGTTTGAGCTGACTTTCGCAGCCAACTTGTCCTTTCGCAGTGTTGTTGCATGTCGTTCCAGGACCAGCAGTCCGCGGAGGCGGCCGAAACTGGCGGCTTTCGTTACCCTACCCTCAGTACCGTAGATGTTGACACGTAGAGCAGCGACAGTGGTCTCCGCTTCTCTTTGAGGGACGCTCGCATAGAGAAGCCACAGCAGCGGTAAAACCATCAACAAAGTCGCAGATCAAGATATCGAGATTTGTATTGAGATCTCATTACGACAAAATTGTGGATTTAGAATTTTCACAAATGAAGTTTCAAGATCTCATTACGACAAAATTGTGGATTTAGAATTTTCACAAATGAAGTTTCAATCTCCTGTACATTTATCCTAGTATTTTAATCCATAAAATTCGATAAACATTTGTCATCTACTTTCACTGATCTCTCAGCTCAGTGTTTGTTTTGCAGTCTAGATTGTATTTGAAAAATGTTTCCTTTCACCCCTCTAATTATCTTCTTTTAGTATCTGCCTCGTCCTGAAGTTTTCGCGGAGCCACATAATATCACCAATCAGTCTGTGAGTTGATTCACAAACTTTCTAGATTTAATTTTATCGTGCTTTAATTTCAGTACGCCATCATGAACAAAATGGCCGCCCGCCGAGTGAGCCCACTTTAGTATCTGGCCTGGTCTCCGCTCATAAATTCTACATTTCAGAAAGTTCGCCTTCAAAAGACTGAAGCTCGGAGCCGCATGTTCGTAACGACCGTCTCTTTCCCAGTCATTGTCAATCGTACGTTTATGGGCGTAGCTGCAGTGAATATCCCACTCACTGAGCTTAGACAACAAGCTCATCCCAGTAATGTGAGCGTGCTATAATAGACTAAATAACTCACTCTTGCTACATCAATTCGCAAAGCTCAGTTTTTTTTTAGGTTGGTGGTCGAAGTTACTTTTTTATGCTCGATCAAAATGGATTCATAATGTTTCACCCACAGCTGCGGCCTATCGTAAGCTACTTCGTTTTTAGTCCTTTTGCAAGCTTTACATCTACTAAACAAACTATTAAACTCAGCCTATTGTACTGCAAGACGATGTTGTTCAAAGTAAAGGCATAAAGAGCCGTTCTTCTTTCCTTCCTCTTCTTCCGAAAGCAAAGAATCTGTCTTTTTGTAACTGGTTTTCGCAGTCTTTTCAATGTCCTCGAATATAATAGGCTTGCAACACAAGCTCACTTTGTAGAATTGGCCTTATTCGGATGTCTCATAATTGCCGTTTTTACCCTGATCATCTCTCCAAAACTGGGGCACCTACAAAGGGTACAAATAAATCGTACTTCTGTATGTATGAGCTATATGATCACGTGCGTGGGAGGAGCTTAGAACGTCTGGAAGCGGAGTTTTCCACTCTACACCATTCATTTTCTCTTTATTTCTAGTCATGGAAAAAATACGAAAAGTGTACAATCAAATGTCCGATGTGTCAGGCATATGCTAAAATAAATGTGGGAATTTTTGAGGCTTTTTTGGGGCGGAGATACAATTTACGGTAATGTTCGTTTTCGACTGCTTTCAGATTTCAGCTCAAAACATCATTGGAATGCGATTTAGACGTAGCCTTCAAAGCCAGTAGAGTTGCTTTACCCTGTCGAATAATTACTCGAACCACGTCATAGAATGAAAGATACAAAAAGACGACGGTTGCAGTTAACATGTAGGAAATCCGAGACACCCTAATAGTTTGTACAACTGGGTAATCATGACGGTGTATTTGACGTGGTAATTGTAAATGTGCACTTTCTTCTTTGTATAATTCTCAAACAAGTTTAGGAAAAATCGGTCATCGAATCTAAATAGACATCTGTTCTTAAGAGACATACATTTGCGAAAAGGAGGAAGTGAGCCTAGGAAAGGCAAATGGCCTGGAGCAGGACACTTTGCCTCTTTGAAGGCACTGTCCTGGCAAAATCTCGCTCTCCGGTTTTTCAGCTTTTCAGAGCCTTCTCGCCATGCTGAACTCATATCTGAGCTTTGCAGCGCATAAAAGCGAAAATGAGTTTTTTTTTTCGAAGCTCTCCATGTCCACATTTGCTGGAAAATACGGCGTGATCCGGAACAATGCGTGGGGTCCGCAGGACTTCCAAAATGCTCCAGACTTCACTGATAAAATAGTTAGGGGGTCTGTCACTGCACTTCAAAATCTCGGTACCCATCATTTTGCCGGGATGTTGCCTCAAAGAAAAGTTGCACAAGATCTGGGTAATTTGCTAATCACTCTTTTGTCCATTTGCGTATTTTTCCAAAAGCAGTTCTTTATTTCTCTAATTGGTAATCTTCCACATTTTTTAGTCCACATTAGCTGTTCATTTATTTCGAGTTTATTCGTTGTTTTGAATTTATTCATACTGCGTAAGGCACCTCTTCATTCCTAGATTTGATCCGGATTTGATCCGGATCTGATGCGAGTTGCAGATCATGATGTGTCACACCTCAATGATAACTAATCCCGAATTCTTTCCAGTTTTGTAATTCTCTAGCTTGGCCAGTTACGTTGCCAGTCTTTAGCAGTATTACCGGCGTTACCAGTGTTGCAATGTTGCAGTGTTACCAGTGCCATCAAAGCTACCAGTATTACTAGTGTCACTAGTGTTACGGCTTTTGCTGCTGTTAAATGATTAAGTGATGAAATGCCAGTCGGTGAAAGTGTGCGATTTCATTTTTACATCATTCAACAGCAGAGCGGCAGTTACACGGGTGACACCATTAAAAACGGTATTAGCGTAGCACTAATAACACCGGTAACACTCGTAAAATTGGTCACATAACACCGGCTTTACTGAAAGCACGGGTTATGCATGGCCGAAGTCTAACACTACAGAAAAGTGATCCTTGCACTTCTTATAATGCGATAATCTACTTGTTTAGGATCCGAGAACCCGTACACATAAGCAAAACTACAACAACATGGATTTGCTTGAACTCGAAGTGCCACAAACACAACAGGTAGGCACAACATATTCTCTGATCATTTACATTCCTTCGTCGTATAACTACACCTTTTCCAAATGTAAACACGTAAATGATAAGTGTTCACCAGGAAATTAACAAGTGGTTGAGTGCCATCATTACCTCTACATGCAGATACGACTGTCACAAGACAAAGAGGATGTCTCGGACATCTATTGCGACTCCGGCACCACATTTGCCGAATGCGTCGGACATATCAGAGATTATGTAGGGCGCATGAAGGCTTCACGCTTTAGTAAAATTGGAGTGGAGGGTTCTGCTTAGGAGAGCTGTATCTGTTGACGCCTAATGCAAAGCAGAATCATTTCGCTTGAGCAGAGCTCTCTTGTTACACAGAAATCCCGAGTACTGTGACAGAAGAAGGTTATCCTGATGCCCTTATCCGAGCGGCTCTCTTGCTACAGTACAAAGGACCTCGTATTACTTGTGTGAAAAACTGGTTTCTCATAGCTGGACAGTAATCAACTTTGGAAGCTTCGATACATCGCCAAATCATTTTCAATATGCTATGCTGCATGACTCCTGCATGATGCTTTGCCTTGATGATTTTCACTTTCCAAAATTTCCAAAACAAATTGTGTGTGCTAGGAATATCAATTGTTCAGCTATAGCTTTGTTAAATTTGGTTTTTTGAGATCAAAAATGAGTTTGCGATGATGATGATGACACTAGGATGGCACAGATTAGCATTTAAGCAACAACTTTCGTTCGTTATTACGAACGCATAAGTTTTTGATTTTATATTCTAATCGTCCAGTCATTCACTTGTTTATCTGCTTCTTTCTCAATTCAACTCTAATCAATCATTATTCACTTGTTTAGCTTCTCTCATGATCAACACTATCCTATATCCCTGATTTAAGATAATCTTTCATTCAACTTCATGTTCCGTTTATCTGCCAAGAACGTACTGTTTATCTTTCAGTTTCATCTATCATTTACCTTTCAAGGCTGATATGTTATGCTGATTGAGCGAAACCGTGGGAAAATGGAATGACTGTCTTTCCTTAACACATGACGACCGCTTGACACACATGGTGTGTCAAGGCTTAACCACCATATGTATTGTTGAAATGGCTACTATTCTGTGCCAAACCCACCACGGGTGTTTTCTTTTATGCTGGATCTAGACACATCCATTGCTATTTTTGCCAGCATTCCAATGTTACTGTAGATATTCTTTAAATGGAATAGTGCGTGTTTTTATTTAGAAAATGCTGACCGATCCGTGAAACGCCTTGGTCGTCAATGTATAAAAAATTTGTTTTCCCAATGTTCCGTTCACTAGAGTATAGTCTGATAGCTCCAAAGAAGTAAACCAATAAAGAGTAATTCAAAAGTACAACGAACATCATTTCACAGCGATATCGCTTATACACCAAAGAGAAAATAGCTTCAAAACGGAGTAAATAATGAAAGCTCGCTTTGCAATCCCACCCAGTACGATAAGCTCAAAATGAATGCTAAATCTAAGAGACATCATTTTGCGGAACATATATCGAAGTTTCGAAGCGGAAAATACCTGAAAAAGCCTTCTTTTGTACTGAAATCGCTCACTTAGATTAGAAGAGTAGGCTAAAAAGCAAACTTGATAGAAAAACATCTAGCAATGGTTCGCTCGATTTGACACGGGCGAATAACTTCATAACGGGAGATAATTTGGAAAAACTCATTTTGGCGGTGAGTGTTGCGCTTTAGCACCGTGGAAGCGACAAATTGCAAGCGGATCAAAAAACCTTGTCCTGAAACAATTTCGTTTATTACAACACAAATGTTTTATGGGCAATGTATTTCCGCGCTATGTTGACCCATGCTGGTGGCACGCCGGCGGTCAAGTTGAGATAGCAGCCGCCACCCACTTTTAACTTGTTAACCAATGTGCCTGTTCGAGAGAAAAAAATCTAGAAAATTGTGATTGTTCACCATCATACCAGAACCTCGATACACGTCTCTGCAATTTTTGCGGGGTTCCGCCCGGACCCCGCGAAAGCGATATCTCATTTCCTTTTTTCCCGATAACGATGTTCGGCTTCCCTGTCCGCGTCGAGTCGTTCATCCCATTCATTCATTTATTAAACTTTCCCATTTTTCGTCACATTATTTGAACATTTATGCATCGTTCAATCATTCTTATTTCGCCGCTTCGCCATCTTCAATCAAGGGACACAACTCAATAATCTGCTGCTCATTTTTCTCAACTGAATCAGTTGTTGGCATCCGAGCTACCCACAGCTATTCTGTGCCATTCTATATGTTGTTTGCTTCCACGAACTATACCTCTATGCTTCTAATAGACGACAATTTAGGTTCGTAAGATGGTAATGGATTGTGACAACAGTGATCCGCAACAGCTGGATGTCCTTTTTGCAACGGAAATGCTTGACCGAGTTTATCCTCAAACGAACTCTTACTTTTCGGAGTGTATCAAGGGAGCTAATTTCGTGTGAGTACATATCTGCAGCTTTAGATGCCCGAGTTTCTATAGATTGCTTCACGGCAACTCAAGAGTAATGACCAGGGTTGAGCGTGGGGTCAGGCGCGCCCGACGAGATCGTAGTATTGAGGGTAAGACTGAGGGGGGGGGGGTCGTAATTAAGAATCGAATTTGTTAAGTTGGGGAGGGTAAGACTGAGGGGGGGTCGTAATTAAGAATCGAATTTGTTAAGTTGGGGAGATACTGCAAAGGTGAAGAAGAAATGCGTTAGTCCGGTGGATATCGCGATCACATGAAGGAGTAACGGTCATAAACAGCATACTGATTGTTTCCACAATGGAAGTTTCAGCCAAATTCAAATCTTCATCTCTTTTACCTTGACATAGAGGTCGACAAGGAGGCTTGCTGTGTGAAATGGGTATCATTTCCATAATCAACATGTCAAATTACCTCTATGCGCTCTACAAACCATTACCTACTGCAGTTTCTAGTATTTCTCAACGTCTAAAAACGTGATTTTCAAGCGTGATCAACTCGGTTGCAGAAGTGAGGAAAGTCAGCTTTGTATATAACAAAGTAATGTTCTCTACAAGTCTATGCTACAAATCGGGCTTCATATCGCTTTCAAACAGTAAAGTAAAAAGTGCGCCAAAACTCTAACCGACGCGTCTTTCACGTTGAGTGTTCCACTCCTCGAATTAGCACAAGGCCGAAACAACTCGAATCAAGCTCAAACACTCACTGTGGAATCTTCAAGGGTTGAGCTAGCGAATCACATAAAAATTGGGTAGAAAAGCATTTTCGGAAATAAAGTTAATGGGATCAGGCGCAACCCCTCAAAAGGTCAGGCCGCCTAAGCTTTTGAGGGGTTGCGCCTGACCCTCCTAACTTGCCTTCAAAATTCAGAATTCGCCCCTTTTTTGATATGAGTATTGAGCGCAAAGCCTCTTTTTGCTATATTGAAAATTTGGAGCCAAACACTCCACCCTTGTGAAAATTATAGCTCTGAAAAAAGGACTATCCAGATCTAAAACTTGCCGTCAGTTGCGTGTGGTTGTGCAATCGCAGAAAGTCGGGCCTACGGACTTTCAAAAATAGAAACCTGCAGTGAAGGCTGGTCTTCTTCAAAATATAACACCCTGAGGACTTGGAGGTGAAGCGGAGGGTCGTTTAGGGGCTTTCACAGGTGGGGGGGGTCGTTTTTGAAGGGCTTCTGCCTGATCTCTTGCTCAACACTGGTAATGACCATTATTGCTAGGGATGTGTTGCCAATTTTATGACTATAAGGTTACGTCTTCACTTACCGTCCCCTGCTCTCTTTCTTTCATCTGCTGCAGTAATATCCAGAATGCTTAGTAGCCTCGTCATGCCTTGGAAATGACATAGCATGAAGTGCTGACCAACCGTTAAAAACGTTTGAAATATATTGAGATGAAAGTGTAATACCATGTTCCACCACCTTATGTCAAGAAGCCAATATCTAAGCAATCTAATAAAAAGAAGGATTGGTATGCATTATCATTGTAACTGTGCACATGTATTGATGTGGTACACATGTAGAAAATCCTAGTGCACTTTTTATGAGAAACACGAATTCGATTTTGTGCTTCTTTCCGCACATAGAATCGACCGCAAAATAGAAATAATCACAGTACTAGAAAAAAAGCTTTTAAAAAATTAGCTGCTAAAAAAGAGGATAAAAGAGAGACCCTGAGCTGCCTCGCTATCATAGATACATGCGATATTATATCCATAGATAGTATCTAGGGAGTTTCCAACTTTCACCAACCTAATTCATAATTAAGACTACGCTTTTGGTAAATCTTCCGAAGTAATTCCCAATAGCTCAATTACCTAACTTCGCAACTTTGCATTAATTTACAGGTTAGGATTAGCTGTCGCTAAGGGCGATGACCATCGGTGGCGTCCAAAAACTCGCAACTACGATTTTAGCCATGTTCAACCAAGCTGGATGAGTGATAAACGATGGATTGTCCATCCATACTGGTCTGTTAAATTGTTAGTTACAACCAATGCGTAAAAGCAAACATCTTGACAGGAGATACTGTCTGTTGAACGATACTGACACCAACATCACGAAAGAAGAAGCGTTTTTCATCTATGCGAATCAAATGCGACATAGCGGTGGGTTTTCGCCGTCTTTTTTCATTCTTTTCAAGCATAGAGTGTTGTCTTTCAGGGAAACTACCGGCTCTTTGTCGACCTCGTGAGCACCTTGTGAGAAAACTGCTCGTAGATTTGGAAGCTACGAGCGCTCTTCAGGATAGCTGGGATCTCCAATGGCAATTTCTTAAGGAGTATGTGGTAACTGCTGACGATCTATGCTTGAATAAAGATGATCTTATTGCAGTAACCTAATCCATCTTGTCTTCTTCACTGCTCCATCCGGTTTGATACGATACTACAACCAAACATTGGAGGACTATGATTATGAGGATCCTAACTGGAGCATCTTCGATCATATCAATGCTTTGATAAGTATAGACCACGTGCAAGAGTGAGTTGACTCCTTCTCACTATTAGCGAAGGCTTTAGACAAACTCAATCGAATCTTGATATAACTTGTTGACCAGTAACTGATAGAAAAGGAGCCACAAACAAGATTGCAAGATTGAAAAGTTGCTTCTTCCAGCATTTCTAATGGAAAGATATGTTGATAGGATACAAACTTGCCAGATTGTCCTTTAGTTCGCAAGCCACTGAAGTGAAGTCATTATGGATGATTGAATCAACTGAACACGCAAGCGGGGGATGTAGAAAATAAATTGATGCGATTGCTTACAGTATATGAGCATACCTAGCTAGAGCCAAACTAATGAAGAGGTCTAAAACTGAGTGAGAAGGGAGACAGGTGGAGACAGTGGCGAACCGAGGGAAAGGGCGCAGTCTTATTGTTAATTGCGCGTTCACTTTTTGATCCAGGAAATGCGTACTTGGCATACAGAAGTGATTGGCAGACAGTGTTAGGTTGGAACGAGAAGGCTTTTTAGAACTTCTAGAATTCATTTGAAAGCCACTACGCCAAAAACAACTTTTTTATCAGCAGCCATGCTTGTAAAAAATTGCCTATCAGTATACTTCTCTCATGGAAAAGAAGAGTGCAATGTTTTCCGGTCCATGCTTCGCTTGATCATGCAAACATGGCAGCATTCAAAAAAGTCGTTTCTGAAATATCCTCTGCCTGTAGTGTGTCGATGAGCATGCATTTTCATGCGTGCCGCACTGGAAGCAGAAATGATAGTTGCTGAATGTATTCTGAAATGCATGCAAGTGGCAACTACAGGATTAATATAGGGTGAATAAGACATGGAAGAAATAGTATCATCACCTTTCAGCGATAAAGCGAGCGTAGCGTTGCGGACCCACAAATCAATTATCTATCCTATCTTGAATCACTAGCAAGTCTAGGCCCACTAACGCTGGAGATCAACGATAACCCGTGAAATGTCCTGTTGTAGACGAGAATATAAATCGCCTCGCAGATAGCTCGTTGGACGTTGATTAGCGGCAAAACCTTCAAGCGAATCGTTCACGCAATGACTATCATAGTTATCATGAATCCCTCCCCTCATCAGAACGAAGTCGAACACATTGCAAATTGTTCGACAGTTCGATTCCTCTCCTTCCATCCTACTAATCAAATAGATCGTCTCCTTAAGGTTGTTTGTATCCCGACGAAAATATCGTAAACGTGCACGAAACACCACCACTGTGGACCAACACGCACGACAGTAAGCGGCTAGTGGCTGGCTGCACGCGCTAGTATATGCTCTTCTAACTGTTTCGCAAATCGCAAACACCTACTAATTCTGCTATCATCTTCATTGGTGCAGTTGCACAAGAATCCAAAGATGCGCACCTTGTGTTGATTTAAGAACAAGACGCAGAAGGCTCTCTATGAATCCTCGCCAAGTACTTTGCTTGAGGCCAGGCCCGCCTCTGATTCATGCCACTACATAGTACTGAAAACTCTTAGTTTCTTATCAAAATAACTTGCTTTGCCGCCGAAAACAGTCATTCGTGGACGTGAATTTGTTGTCCGGCATTCACCTTTGAAAAATTATGGTGTCTATCTCATAGTATCTAGTAAGATATGTGCAACTGCACCTTGTGCACGCCAGAATATATCTCAAAATTAGCTTCAATAAGCTTGGTTTCATATATTTAATCAAGCAGGAATATAGCTGCTTGCTGCTGTTAACAGCTTCACTGAATAACCGAAATCAGCTCAACGCTGCTAGGCCGCTAGGGCACAACTCGTGACTGCTGTATTTTTGAGTGATTACAACTTTTTTAGGAGTTATAATCATTTTATCTTGGATTTAAACCGGAAGTCTGTTGACGATCCTTACTACCGAAGGAGTGTCCGAATGAAAGACCACATCGTGTTTGATGTATCTAACAAATGTGGGTTGAGCCTCAATTTTATCATTTTATAGTCGTGTATTGGATGGAAACTAACAATAAGAGAAGTGGGAAGTTATGCCAGGCGTTAGAAAGATTGTGGAAAAAAACTTTTTTGTTATAACTTATCCAACTATTTCCGTAGCCTGTACCCAAGTCCGTTGCATATAACGGCACATCGACTCGTCGTTTCATGCAATTAGGTAAATAGATTTCATTTGCATAAAGTTCATGTGTTCAGCAAAGATCTGGTACAAATCCGAAACGCAACTCACTGGTTATGGACTAAATGAAAATCTCACTATGTTGGCTCAAGGAACAAAGGCTATCTACCTCGGAAATGCCTTATTAGGTAAGAATTTCTCTTTACTAGACAACAAAATAGAAAGCTCACTAAAATTATACTAGTTTCAACTACTACTACATAATCAACAAAATTCATCTTTACAGGTGTGGCTGGGTTTGAGTTTGCGTACGACTATGTAGTCAATCTGATGGGAGAGCATGGCTGTCAACCTTCGGTAAGTACCCTCGATATGAGTAAAGCTATTACTTCCTATCTATCCCATCATCGGTTTATTTGTGTTGCTTCGGCTTCCTTCTTTCTCGTATTTATTTTGCAAGGTAATTTTGCAGGACGATCGTCGGTGGTGTGTCCTGCTCGACGAGCACGGTTATGTCTTTTACAGTAACCAGAAAGACATCTCATACGAAGACTACATAAAGGTAGTCCATTTCAAGCAGTTATACTAAAAACAAGTATGGTAGTTTACAGGATCCCATCAACAAAGGGAAACATATAAGTCAATGGTTCGGAGGAATAAATCGGGTATCACAACGAGCAATGGCCCTGTTGGTGGAGAAAAGATTTTACATCAAGTGAGTATAGAAAGATGTACAAGTCTGTTTGGAGGAACACAATTTTGACAAAGTTTGACCCAAGTGGAAATGAAAATCGCCTTTTTGCTGTACCTTTATTATGCACGCATAAAAATCTTGATTGAGCCCTTCTACGGCACATGACCCTGTGTACTCAAGTCGTACCCTGCAACCTGATGAGGCTTAAGATAACGACGTATCCCAGGCCTACTGGTGCCTCGCATGATAACAAAAAAGATTGCATACCAGTTAGGGCGAAACCGAACACAACGATCTGTACCGTCCATGCTACCGATGGCGCGTGTACCTCAGTTCGCACAGACAGTCCCGAGGCTTTGTCATACAAATCTCCCACATGCCAAGGTAAAAGAGCGGCGCAACTGCCCCTCCGTTTCCGATGCTCTTCTACCGTACAGATCCCCATCCAAAAACAATTCCGTTCGACGCACATGCGAATTCAGTTGCTATTTCCTTGGCCGCGCTGCCTGAAAAACATTCTAACAATAAGATGAAAGCTCAACAGAAAAGCGCGAGCCAAATTGAAAGACGAAAAAGAATTTTTGTGAACAAATGCTATACTGAGACATTGCCACCATGTATAGCCTTTTGGTTAGCAACGCGCCAACTAAAGAGGTTTCCGTCGTCGATTACAGCAGTGCGCGTAATGATTAGGGTGCCTTCATACAGCGCCTGTAGCCGCCGTCAACAGCCGCCAGCAGCCTATAGCCACCGTCAGCACCGCATAGCCACCGCTGGCCGCTTTTGTTATCATGGGAGCGCAACATCATCAGGTTTTTACTAGCCTGCATGCATCCGACTGCAGGCTAGTGATTTTCTTTTTTGTTCTTTCACGTTTTTTTCCTGACTGTGCAGTTCGACCCTCACAAATCACATATGTGCTCATTGCAGTCATTATCTCGTTGCAGTAGAGGATATGCTATCGTGCCCACATTTCGTTATAGAAATCTGTCTTGTCTAAAACGATTCTGAATGATTGAATTATTCCTCCAGAATTTGATGCGGTTGAGGTCTTTTTTGTGTGCTTTGATTCCTTTGCCATGAAAACAAGTTTTTGCTATACGCCTTTACATTGTTATTGATTACACCTTTACTTGTCGTGATCGATCGTTAGTTCGTCAGCCGGGCCCGGCATAAGTCCGTTTCTAGGCATTTGAAAACAAAGTCCCCTGACTTTCCCAAAATTTTACGAAGTTCCCTTTGACCCTTATCGGAAACGTCGACTAAAAACATCTAACCTGACTTGTGTTCTTCCGGATCCACAAAAACGATAACCCTTTTGCTTTTTCGCCCCGAAAACAAAGTCCAGACTGCTTCCAAACGATCTGTGCCGGCCTTGTTTGTCACCGATCGCACCCTCAAACTCAGATGGAATCACATCGCGAATAAACTTCGGCGAACTTGCGAAATAGTTCAGGCTGCAGCATAGGAACTGTAGTAATTCAATCTACGGGAACAAGATAATGACAACAATGTATACAAATGTGATGTATGAGAGTCGAATCGCACATTAGCGGAGTCTGGAAGGGAAAAGCAGGGAAGATGAAAAGTTAGGTGGATGCACGAGGCCAGTAAAAAACTGATGATTTTGCGCTCCTAGGATAACTAAAGCGGCCAGCGGAGGTTACCGGCTGGGTATGAAGGTAGCCTTACCACAACAATAAACTCTTGGATCCAGTGGTCTCGACCTTCAAGCAAGCTTGCAGCGCTAGCTGCGAATCCCCTTCTAGAGGCGTGCGACATACCATACTTCTTGCGCTCCGGGACCTTCAAGCAGGAGCACGGATCTCCAGCAAAGATAATACCACTATTTAGCAACACATTTGCAACCATCCCCATATGGTTTGAATCTTGAAACCAGGCTTTTTCGAAGGATCTCGAATGCAAAAATCGTAAAAAAAAATGCCTTTGAAGAAGTACTAAACCATTGTATGTTTTCAGACTCAAATATACAGATCACCAGGCGACGTGTAAGCAACAAAAGATGGTGGTACAATCGGCATACTCTTTGCGGGTAGGCAATGCTTAAATTTCATGAGGAGTCAAAACTCTCACGTCTAGTAACAATGATTTTTCTTCACAAATCAACTTTTCAGCCATTGCGGTCTTTCTATCGTTGGCTGATGTCTAGCATCTATCAACTACTTCTGTTAGCTAAACAATATCCATTGTTGCATCTCTTCCACTCATTAATAGAACCGGTAGAATGTAAGTATTTTATCCAAATTTCAATTTTTAGAACCCTTAGCCTCATATACTGAAATTTCATGTTTTCTTGCATGTACGATATTGCAGCTTATACTTCGCATTTCCACGAAGACAGTGAAGGATATCCATGCTCGAAACAATCATACTTCTACCTGTCGAATAGTGTAAGTCATAAATACACGGCGGTATTATAACTACCTTTTTTGTATCTCAATCTTAAGGATGGTCGATCTCGTCCACAGAGCAGTAGCCTTGTTGATTTGAATCGCTCCGATCGGCCGTGCACATTGAATTCGGCCAAATGTTCAGTGTAAGTTTTGTCGATTTGCTATAAATTGCGGAGAAAAACTGATTTGAAAAAGCATCTTGAAGTTGTTCGTTTGATATCTGTAGAGATTTTCCGCATATGATGAGTACTTAAAGGCAGTGTCCGGGCAAAAACTCGATTTTGAGATTTTGTGCTTACCTGGGCCTATTCGCTACGCTGAATCCGAAAACGCACATTGTAGAGCGCAAAAATGGCGAAAAACGGCTCTAACACAGGAGGGAAATGAGCAGGTGGGCGGAGTCCTCCCCACTGCGAATTCACGTTACCGGCTTCCGGAGCGACCCTCTCGCTTCCGGTTTCAAGTCAATCGTTCGCACTTGACCAGTAACGATGTTAGGACGGCTAGCGGAATCGAGAAAATCGCTCCGGGAGCTGGGAGCGTGAAATCGCACTGGGGAAAGCCCCGCCCACCTGCTGATTTCCCTTTTGTGTTAGAGCCCTTTTTCGCCGTTTTCGCGCTTTCCAATGTGGATTTTCGAATTCAGCATAGCGAATAGGCCCTTATAAGAACAAAATCTCAAAATTGAGTTTTTGCCCGGACACTGCCTTTAAAGGCAGTGTCCACCCAAAATTTCGCCTTCCATATTTTGTCATTCAGGAGCCTTTTCTTGGCCCTGATTACAGTTATGAAGTCCAAAGTGTGCACTGCCAAGAAAGTCCATTTTTGGGAGCCCTATCTTGAAAAAGCAAACGGCTTTCACTCTGGGTAGGCGGAGCTTGAGATCTGGGCGTGGTTTGATAGCACTTTCGTTCCAGGGCCATTATTTTCATTCAGAGACAACATTGGAGAAACGGAGCAGATGCTTCTCTCTTGGGGCCTACATTCAAGATAGATCTAATAAGATGTGGTTAGGTTTTGCCTGGACGCTGCTTTTGAAGGCGAGAGAGCAAACTGCTGGCAAAATTAGTGATACTGATTTGGTGGTCCATGTTCAATCAAAATTCCGATACATTTCAAATGATCATGAATTTCAAATTCATATTCAAGAGTGTTGCGGGGTATGTCCGACTTAGTTAGCTTACTGGAAAATTACTATCATTTAAACAGAACACGCCATAAAAAAGATTTTACGTTTTGATTCGAAAAAGCATGCCACACACCACGAATGATAAAAAATTGGGGCATAGTTGGTGATAAAATACAATCCTGTAAATAAACTAAATTTCCCAATTGTGTTTTAGCGATATTTCGGCCTACAAAGTGGCTGATTTAGCACAGCGGGTAAGCCCATATAAGCGAAAAAACTAGAAATGAAGTTTTAGTCGCAAATGGCTTGACATTAGTAAAAGCTGCCCAGACAAATTTTAGAGTATGCAGGTTTCCAGGATAGAAAATTAGCCTCCTTTTGCATTTTGACATCTGTTACATCTAAGGCGAAAACTTTTATCGCTATCTCATTTATGTTTTTCTTTGATCATTTTCTTCCATTGCATTTCCCTCCCTTATATCTTCCCTACTACTCTCGTTCTCATTTTCTGCTACAATGGACAGACCCTTCCATCAGCATTGTTGGCTGCTTTTCCTCGACGACATGATTTCTGGTTGTGTATTGCATCTTTTCCGGACCATTACCCTCTGTAATGGCTGCCACTATTGTTTATGAGCCACTGGGAGCTTTTAGCTTGCAAGACCAATTCGCGCAAAACGTACTTTTCCAGCAAAACTTTTGATTTCCCTGGCTTTTGCTAAATCAATGACTAAAGTGAGATTCAAGAAGGCGAAATGCAAAGTTCTGCTGAAGACCAAAAACGTTTTAAAAAGATTGAATGACGTTCCTTCTCACGCACTTCCGTCATTTCTCGTGAACAACGGCAATTGGCGATTTCTTAGTCATGAATCTTAAATATAACTTTATTGGGAAACAAGTGACAACATCGAAGTTGAGATGACGTCAGCAAAGAAACTGGGTATGTAGCGAATAAGCTGTGGTCCCAGAAACTTCTTCTGCCGCTTGGAGGCAAGGCAAATTTTTGGTAGGGTCGTAGCATTAGCCGCAAATACAACTTGAAAACTCTTAAAAACGAGTTTTTTTGAAAGCCACTCCCTGAAAATATCTCTTGAGATACTAACTGTATTTTCAATTGATTCACAAAATCCTTAACCTTTGATACAACTAGCTTGGCGGCTGGAAGGCGGGGCTTTGAGACGTGATTGAGCCCGCTCGCGCCCGCGGCGCAGTCTGCGTCTCTCTCGAGCGCGTGCTCTCTGATCATTATCTAGTCTTATGGGTCACGAAGCCCCGCATTCCATCCGCCAAGCAGTTGAGTAAAAGGCTAATTATTAATAGCTAATAACCCCCTGTATAATTTCATAGCTATACGTACCATTATTTTTTTTTTGGGGGGGGGGGGGGGAGGGAAGGGGGAGGGGGCTTGCCGTAACCCTAACTTAGCAAAGTGAAGGTTAATGTCAAGACAAATTCTGGGGAAGCAAAAGTTGAAACTGTTCTTCAAAAAATTGAGAAAAAAAACTTTTTGAAAACTTCTTGCATCTTCATGCGAGCATTATCGAAACTAGCAAATGTTTAGAAAAACTGAATTGAAAAAATTTTTCCGATTTTTTCTTTTCAGAAAAATGCAAGCTGCATTTGTCGAAGGCACAAATCTCGTCATGGTATGGATCATACAAGATAAAACATCGGATAATTGCTATGACGAGACACAATGTCCAAAGGCAGATCCATCTGAAGTATGATTTCTCAAATTATGGTGATGCAAAGCGAAGTTCACAATCTGTTACTTTCAGGTCCCGTTTGGATTTGAAAAAGTGCCACCACCAGATCCGACGGAAAAATGCACCGGTATAAAGCATCGGAGACCGGCACGATCCCACTCAATGTGCTATAACGAAGTGCATGAGGTTAGTCTGAATTGTTAGCTTCAAGTGAATTCTAAAACCATAGCAGCTATGTATTTCAGAGTTATATATTATTTGATTGGCTCAAAATATTATTTCATAACGCAAAATTAGTTTATATGCTCACTATCCCGCACAACACTTGTCCCTCGTAGTCCTCAAAGCTCATAACAAGTGTTGATTGCTAGAAATATCCGCTTGGCATGCTCTAGCCCCATAACTTCAAAAAGTTTCACAAAAAATGAGACCCATCAACTCTTAGCCCCAAATTTTTTTTCGACTTCTGATTTGTTCAAAAACGATGAGTGAATTTAAAAATTATGGCAAAGTGCACACGTTGAGGTTTAGTCAATGTTTTCGACAATCCTGTCCGCTTCTATTTCAATTCAGGAAAACCTTCCTCTCGGCATTGGATGTTACCAATGGTTGATTTTTTTCGCGAGGGCAAAAAAAATTTAGCCAAAAAATTGTGACATTGAGCTCTTCCATTTTTGATAATTTTTTTTCGGGAATTTCCTGCTGGAGCTGCATGCCCAGGAACAGATCTTTGAGCTAATTTGATTTATATATGCAAGTAAAATGTCACTTATGTGGACTCATGACAATTTCGCGTCCCGTTGCGGAAAACGGGGGGGGGGGGGGGAGCGTCTAAGTTGTGGAAAGCGTTCTAGGTTGATTGCGGAGGTGTAGTTTCTACAGCTATATCCCAAAAAATTTCTTCTCCCCTTCTTTTTTCCTTTTCTCCTTGAGGGCATATCCCTCCTATCTCACACTTTCGAATTCGACGAAACTTTTCCCAATTCCTTGATGAAATATTCCAATAACGATACTGAGTAATTTTCTTAAATTTTTTTGATAGATGTACCTCACAAAATGAGGAGGGGGGGGGCATTTGAGTTTGAGTTCTGCCGCTATAGTTTTATCCCGCATAGCAACATCAAGAAATACAGTAACCTTTGATTCAACTGGATTGGCGGCTGGAAGGTGGGGCTTTGTGACCTAATTAAGGCTAGATAATGATCAGAGAGCATGCGCGCGAGTGAGACGCAGACTGCGTCGCGGGCGCGAGCGGCCTTATTTAGGTCACGAAGCCCCGCCTTCCAACCGCCAAGCCAGTTGAATCAAAGGCTATGTAGAAAATTGATAATGTAGATACGACGCACACTTATCTGCTTTTTTTTTCAGACCGGTATCTTCCCCTGTTCGTTCTCTACATCAACCACGATACCACTGTTATTATTATTCGTTTCTATTGCATTACGTGTGTTATAGAGTGTTACATTTGCACTTGTCAATTCAATTTATTGATTTTATCGATCGATGGGAGCATATTGTAAATTCGGCCTGTCTTCAATTTATTGATTTTATCGATCGATGGGAGCATATTGTAAATTCGGCTTGAAACTGTTGTGATAACATACGACTCCAAATCGTTGCTCATTTCACTGCCCTCTATTCGTATTAGATCTTTTAGAGTAGATGTTCATACTGTTAGTTAGCACTACGCGATTTTTTTTGCTTTTGATGTTTTGTCTGCATTTACAGACAATATGTTCTTCGGCTTAGATTATTACCGTATACAGGTTTACTGTCTAGTCGTTTATACTCTTTCTCTACTTGTACAATTTTCCAGATTTTATATTGTTTATCCATTTGTGATCGCTGGTTGTTTATAAAAGTTGAACAAAAACTATATAAAGATTTTTATCGATTTTTCAAAATGCCTTTTAATCATTATGCAGGCCACTATGTAAATTTCCATTTCCCATGTTTGCCATTTTATCTGATTGACGGTGTGCTATTTGTTCTTTTCTCGGTCTCAAGGGGAAACGAAGATCAATCAACGTCCACGAAAAAAGGAGATTTATGCAGTTGGTGCAAGACAGATTAGCAACGCACCTCCTTTGAAAATTTTGTTTTGAAGAAAAGAAAACAAAAAAATGAAAATCTATCTATTCCTTCAGAATATAAACGCAAAATTACGTTGATGAAAATTGAAAATAAAAGTTGAAATGGAATGTCCCTTTTTATAACAATGATTGACGAACAGAAAGGGAAAAATATTTTTCTGCCAAGATAAAAGATTTTCTTAAAGGTCAACGAAAGAACCCAGTAATTCCTGCAAACTACTACTAGTTAAGGGAATTGTGCCTGTGAGGTTCATCCTTTAATATCCTCCCCCTACCCCGCTTAACTCAAATTTTAGTGGTTCATTGGAATGAGCCAATCCACATTACCTGAAGTACATAACTAATCCATAGTAAACGGTTTATACATGCCATTTCCGATTACCTAGTCTCTGTGTTCAATCTTCTTGTGGTTTCTACAAAATCAGAATTTCTTTTGTTTCCTTATATTAATTCCCAAATTTAACTGTCATGTACAGCTTCTGAAATGCTAATTTTTCCACGTGTTTCTTAAAATTGTAGTACCAACACCAAAGGTGTTTTTTTCACACTTAGACGCACAGAAAAAGGTTTTTCAAGAATGTTCGAGATAGGGGTTTTTCAAGAATGTTCGAGATAGGACAGGACAACTCGACAGAGAGATTCTGAGAAAAAGAAAGAAGATAAAAGAAGAAGTGAGAAGTTCCTGAAAAGTGCAAACTTAGAGACATACTTCCAACATTGTGAATACTTTTGAATCTTCCACAAAATTTCCTAGGAAGCATGTGTCTGGATAAAGTTTTCCTGAATATACGGGGTGTCCCAAGGAATGGTAACACTGTTTGGTCGTTGATAACTCTCTTGCTTTCTTGTCATAGGCCGAGCTTGAGCTGCCATTCTGCAGAGCGAGGTTTAACTTAGATTTAAAACATGGAACGAATTATCAATTACTGTTCATTACTGTAGAATAACGGTGGGAACTTCGAGAAGGATTCTAGGAGATTAAAATTTTGATTTTTGATTCAGAAGGAAAACCGATCAAGCCAGAATTTCTTGTACTGGACTAATTAAAGTATCTGATTCTAAATGAAAGTAGCACTTCACTGTAAAGCTTCTTTTAAAAATTATTTCAGATTTAGGGTGGCGACTGTTTTTCCAGGGTCCCTCAGAAGTGTAAATTACACTATTAAGAAACTTTTGTGAAATCGGCGTGCCTGAAAACCTTGCTACACAAATTTCTGGATTGTTTGGAGTTTTTTTCATCAAAAACCCTATTCCACTATGGCGCTATATGCTGAAAGTTTATACCGTAATACTGCAGTAACAAAGGAAGATCGAAAAAAAATTTTTAATGCTGTAAATTTAAGTTGAACATCGCTCTGCAGAATGGTATGACTCAAGCTCGGCGATTGACACGAAAGCAAGAGAGTTATTAACGATCAAACATTGCTCACATTTTTTGGGACACCCTAGTTGCGAGCTTTCGAAGCAGTAGGTTAAACTGATTTAGATCAGCAATGACCTACTATATCTAGTTACTGGGTGTCCCAAAAATTTTGAGCTTAGTATTTTATCTATAAAAATAATACGAAATAGCGTAGAGATATGAAATATGGAGCATGCATTATTCAACCATCAACAAATGCAATACAATAATCGAATTTTGTGTGAGCAATTTCCGTTGTTAACGGAAGCCTTCCGTCCCACGCCTTTATGGAAATAGTTCCTATCGCTTAGAAAATGTGCGGTATGATAGAGCAAACTTCCAGCTACAGGAATTAGGATTGAAATTGTGGGAACTATAAAACCAAAGACCTCACGCTGGAGATTTTAGACACAGTTGCGGAAAAGCAAACAGAGAATCAGCTACAATGTGTTTTGAAACCAAGTTCGTCATTTAAATTGAACTAAATTCTATCTAGAAGACAATAGAGAGAATATTTAGATTCAGTGACTGCTCTAGCTCTACAGAATCAATTTAATTGCAAAGACATAGTGGCCGAGGCACGCATCCAAAATTTCCAAATTTCTCTGTGTCGATGCATTTTATTTTTAAAGGCAGTGGCTCGGGAAAATTGCGACTGCGCGCTTCTCACGACTGCATGGCCTTCTAAACCAGCTGAGTCCGGTACTGCGCTTGAAAGGTCAAAAAAGTGTTTTTTCGGCGTTTCCGGGCCTTGATTGCTGGAGGGGCGGGGCGAGGGATTCCCGTCAACTTTATCGTGTTGGTAAGATAGGTGAAGTTACAGTATCCTGCAGTCGGTTGCTCCTTTTGGGGTAAATCCCTCGCCCGTCCCTCCAGCAATCTCCAAAGCCCGGAAACGCCAAAAAGCACTTTTTTGACTTTCCAAGCGCAGCACCGGACTCAGCTGGTACAGAAGGCCATGTAATGGTGGAAACCCCGCAGTCCTGCAGCTACTATAGTGATAGTAGTACAAAGCCTCCTCTATAGTGTAGACATGAAGTTGTGGAATGTTCCAAATACTCTAAGCTGCGGAATAAATCGTAAAGCCGAGAAAATAGATTTTTGCGGCTCACAAACTCATGGTTCGGTACTTCCATTTTTTTCAAAGCATATGAGATGCACTTTGGTCTTGCAAAAGTGTATATCGTAGAGAATGATTGCAGCATTCTGTGACGTGAATTTATATATCAGAACTATCAGTGAGTGATCATTAATTATAGCGTTGCAAACCTAGGTTACAAGACTTTTGCGACACCCTGTAGCAAAATTCATAATGCAGCTTTCATTAAGAATTTGAATAAAATTATTATGTGACAGCACATAATTAGAACAAAGTGGCACTTTCATAACTTACATTAGTTGTTCAGATTGCGCTAACAAATAATTATGGTCAACTAATCACATGTTTGACCCCCTGTTTAGGTCTCCACCGTTCAAATACTATTTATGTGGGCTACGAATTCCGGTCATTCGAGCAAAAGCCATTTAATTTTAAGTGGAGTTTATTAATTGCTAGTAAAATCAGTTGTTAGAGCTTGAATTAGAAATCAAGGAAAACAGATAAAAAAATCAAGTCTTGTCCCTGTTCTTTTTGGATCTCCCTTCCCGTCCTAAAAAGCCTCAAAAGCTTCAGAAACCTTTAGCTTTGAAGTACAGCCTTTTTTCTTAACTTTCTTCTCGAAAGTTGGTCTTTTTGCGTCATCACACTTGCTTTCACAATATTTCTTCAGTAATATCCTAAGAAACCCTAATCTTCTAAATTTTGTCTATATGAACACAAGAGTGTACCTTTCTCTCATCAAGCTACGCATTTAGCAGTTTACGCTGTCAAAATTGCCGGATGCAGGCGATAGTTAATGTTATGGCTTTGCCAATCGCAAGTTTTTATTTATAAGCTTTCGTGATTTGCGACATCTGGGAAAGTTCTTGAATTTCTTCTGCGAGTAGAGAAATGATTGGAAAGGTCTGAAGGCACAGAAGCCGTTGAAAAATGTTTTCCTGGGTTTTTCTTGGTTCTTGGGCTTTGCAGTAAGTTTCAGCAGCATATGTTATGTGTGTTATCTGCGTTTGATGTATGACATGCAGAAATGGTAGAAAAACACACATAACTCAGGTAATGTAAAATCATTTTGAGTTTTACAAAATTTCCGAAAATTTCTTGGAGTTCTCCTCAGAATTCCTAAAGGACTACCACTGAAATGTGCAAAATATCTAGAAAAAACTGAGTGAGCTCCATACCACAAAAAAAAACCTAAAAAATTTCTTGAACTCGTTCACATAGCGATCTCAGCAAGTCAGTGAAAATCAAGTAAACATAAATGTGGTAATTTCAAGGATTGAAATTTTTTTGCTTCTCAGAAAGCACTTAATTCCAAATTTTTGTGGGATTCATCTTTATATTTTTAAGTGTTGATGGATAAGGCAAAGCGACTGAAATCTGGAAAAAAACATTTACAAACATTATAATCATAGGAACCACAATAGTATGAGATAAAGCAGAAATAATGCATAATGAATAATATTATGTCATGAAATGAGATGAAAGGATTCTAAGAAGTTGAATAAATAGAAATAATCAAGTTGAAATGTGAAGAAATAGCACTATAGTTGATATCAAAAACGAGCGGGATCGGTACATTTGAATAAAGATTTGTTTTTTTTTTTCAATATCATTCGAATCATCTTTGGCCTGCAAATATTTCACTTAACACATTCACGAAAATACGACTCACTGGTAGGTCTAAGATTCTTGAAACTTTAGGTTTGCCAGTTTACGATGGAATTTGACGGGGTTCTGGCACATGATTGGAGCACCTAGGCGAAGCTCCAGCCCAGGGTGATCCGGGCTCGGGAATCTAATGTTACGGCCCACGAGTGGGTCTTAAGTTTGACAAAGCGAAAAGGGCTCTGGTCCGAAACGGCAGTAACCGGAAAATTGTCCTTGTCGTGAATGTGTTGAATTATTTTATTGCAAGCCAGATATGTATTGAAAAAAAAGCTCATCACAGGTTTTTATCCACACAAAAGCTCGAATCGCTAGTTTACCAAGCCCTGTCTCCCCCCCCCTCTCCCTCCACCAGAGTAATCTCCCAATCAGGCACACAAAATCTATGTTAATACAGCTTCAAAGTTAGTCTATGATAAAATAACCAATATACTTGCCAAAAAATTTTTGGAAACACATTTATTTTTATAAGAACTTTACTCCAAGTCGTACTAATCTTCCACCACGTAGATGGAAGACTAATAAAACCCCTTTCCCCTAGAACCACTCCGCCAGGGACTAATTGTACTCTGGATAGACCTAGCAACAAGGGAAAGAAAATAGCATTGATAAAAGTCCGGATTTTTAGTTGAATAGAGGTGTTGCCACGGCAACAACTCAAGTCGCAATTCCTGAATAGGTAATTTCACAGTCAATTTGCCAAAGGCAAAATGTTTTAGTGGAATACTAGCAGTTGCAGAAAAACTATGAATATGGATGTGAGGACTAAATAATTGATGTATATCGGGTATAGGAAACGGGGATTAGAGGGTGGCAGGGGTTTTTTGCAAGTCTTTCGGAAGTTCTTCAGCTAACTAAGAGCACTTCTAAAGTTGACGTAGTCGTTTCGAAAGTACATCAACATAACAACTGTCTTAGGCTATCCATTTCACTTGGGAAGATGACAAGAAAAAATTATTTGAAGAATGTTCAGAATGCTTTTTGAACTCTCATACCAACATAGGTTTTCCTCGTATGTACTTGCGAAAATATTGGTGTTTTGGGGTAGCAGAAAGTATCGAGATTACCTCCCTTTTTTTCTGCTCTCCCCAAGATGGACGAGTTGCCACGAATGATGTGACAGTTGTCTAATTGTCCCCCATAGAAAAAACTGCTCGGCTATTACCATAACCGCATAATTGATTTTGTGCTAATCGTGTGGCAGAACTCAGGCGGTTCGCCCGCCGGAGGCCAGCCGCCCGAGCCGCGGCTCCACCCCGGATGCCCCGCCCCGGACAAGGGGTTCGCTCCCCAGATGCGTCACTGAGACTTGAAGCACGTCACGTAGTCGGAGCTTTATCGCGTTCAAGCCACAGACGTAATCCAAATCAGCTGCTGTGATTTCTGCAATATTACGTCCTACTCGACAGGTCATTACAACGCTACTACCGTCACCGCAAACGGTCACCTATGACGACTAGCTAATGCGGAATGTTACTGACCAGCTTACTTATGCTGGCTATTGTTCATCTTGCGAGTAAGTTCCAGCTACAGTAATAAAATCCCTTTGGGACCCTCGAGTTAAGCGCTCTAAGGGCAAAAGGCAACTCTACTGCGTTTTTTTTTTGCCGTAGGTGGATTTGCGATCTCAAACAACAATTTTTTTCTCAAACAAATTTTTTCCTTGAAGCTTTTAAATCATACATCTATTAGACTGATTCCCAAAACACACAAACGACATTATCGTAAATGTGCGATTATATAGCGTTAAATAAATAGCATGTGGTGCAACGCATCCCCGAGATTCTCGGGTGATTATTCAATTCCTCATTCATTCATAATTTTCATACATTTTGTTGATTTTTGAACATTTTGCAGTGTTGTCAGGCTGTTACTCATACTTGACTTTTTCATCTCCCTGGCAATTTCCTATTCGACTGTTTTCGACGTTTCCCTTAGTAAATTGAATTCAGTGCTTTCTACGGTAACTAGCTGTATTTTCGTTTTCTGGTTCTCTATTCTGGGACCTTGCGAAACTTGAAAATTCATTTTCGTGAACTGTTTAATACTTGATTTCATTTTGAATTTATTCTTCAGATTTTATAGCATTATTTGTACTAATAGTATTTTGTCCTTGAAATTTTACACGGGGTACCTTTATTCAGCTATTCTGACCTTACCGTATCTCGAGCGTTCCAGAGGACCGGTCCTACTGGATTATCGCACACTCAATAAGCTTTTTCATGCTAACGAATCATAGATAGCGTTGGTTTTCCTACGCTGTAGTTAACTGCGTAGATCGCACCAGGACCATCTCCTTAGGACTTGAAGAGATCTGCCAAGAGAAAAGGGATTTGGGGGGGGGGGGGAGGTGAGTAGACTTTCGAGGAGAGGAAGACATCATGATATACGGTAGTAGCGGGAATAGCCCTTAGTGGATCACAGCTACCGTATCCCTACAGTAGTACTATAGGACTGCAAGAGTGACGTTAAGATTTAGGTGCTAGGTATTCGATTATCAATCACGGCGCCTTACAAATAGAAGTATGGTTTTTTTAGTACAAATTCTCACAGCTTACAAAGTTACCGTAATACTACAGTAATACAATGAAGTGTGAGAATTTTCAGCTTGCTGGATAAGTTTTGGACGAAAAATAATTTGAATCTAGTCAATTTTATGTTGACTTTTAATCCCTTTTCTTACTGTACCTCTGGCATTGCGAATGGGACCACCATCTTATCATGTAAATAGCTGCACACGTTACAGCTCTTACATAAACAATCAGTCTGTAACTTATCACAAATGTGAACTTCAAATATCGGAGAAATCCCGACTTCTCCAGTTTTTCTACATATTTCTTGTCGAAAGGTCCTCTCCTTTCATGAATGTCACTCTTTTCCGAGCAGTGTTTGTTTTTCACACCATTTTCCGTCATTTTCGCAATCCGAAATGCATTTCTCTCCATTTTATCGTGAGATGTGTTTTCTACGTATCGCCCATAGCTCATTCGCATTCGACCCTCTTCTTCAAACGCATTAGCATTGCATAACATTATCCCATTGCTCCCTCTCAACAAAGCTGCACACAACTCGTCCAAAAACTCGTCCAGATTCATTGAAAAAACTCGGTCAAAGGGGTGTTGCGCGCGATTTTTTCTTTGCACATAAAACGGCCCTTTTCTAAAGCTTAACTAGAGCAACTTCTACTGAATAGTCGACAATCAATGCCGATAAAAATGATGATGATGAGCTTGAATGCACATCCCGCTGCGATGAGACTCGAAGCCGAGTAAATTGAACTAATTTTCTGAAACTGCCACTGCGCCGTATAACTAACTAGTGCATGCTATGCTAGACTTACTTGGGGTAGAGTTTTGCAGCGATTTTGCATGAATAGTGAGAAGGGAGGGGGGAGAGAAAGAAGGGGCATTCGGAAAAATTCCAGATCAACAGAGCTGTTTGACAGATTACTGTTTGAAGAAATAATGTTGACAGAGTACTATTACTCTGCTGGGCGAACGAGAGTTATGAAATTTAGTGAAATTTTCAGGATTTTTGAGGGAGGGGGGAAGAATACTTGGGGTTTTGCAATGATTTAAACGCAGAAGGTACGGGGGGAGGTGGGAGAAAGAGAAGGGAGCGGAGAAATTTTAGGCTAACAGACCCGTTTGGTACATTTGTTTGAAAATAATGTCAACAGAGCAATATTCCTTTGCTGGGCGAACGAGGTTAGAGAATTCTAGCGAAATTTTTTGAGGGGAGGGGGGGGATAGAGAAAGCTGTTGAGCACGACATGATAAGTCAAGGCATATAATATATATAAACTATGCCCAATAAAATTTTTTCTCAGTCATCTATAACGTCATTCACTGCCTAATATATGGTACTATCATTCACCTGGAAGTTCCATGCTTGACGTAATTTTGCGGACTTTTTTTTGTTAGAAGCTTGCGCTCGTTAAGGTTGTACTCTCTGACCTATATTTGCGGGAATTTTTTAAAATGAGCGCTAGGTGAACTTTAAGCTTTCTTCACCACTGATTTCGACGCAGTTTTGCGGATTCTTATTGTTGAAATTGCGCCGCCTGGACTTTCAAGTGTGTGCTAAAGCTGGATTTTGTGACGCAATTTTGCAGACTTTCTCTAGAAAGCAACTAATTAAAAAATCGAGTATGTTTTTTGGCTGTTTTTTGACGCAGTTTTGCAGACGTTTTGTCAATAAAGCACCAAACAATTTTAATATCGAATTTTGACTTTGAAATGTGAATTATTCTTGAGTAGTTTTTCACTTTCTTGCTAACTGTTAATCAGAAATACGTTTTAGATAACAACTGAGTACGCTCTGATTTTTTCGCTAATTGTAGTCATTGGTAAATTCCTACTTTTGCCCTGTAACTAGGGTTTTTGATGCAATTTTGCAAACATTCTCAACAAAAAATGCACTATAGAGAGCCAAATTCCCGTCAAACTAAATTTTTTCGGCGCAAATTTGCAGACATTTTGTTTCGAGCGATGGCAAGAGTTCATCCAAAGTACGCAACAATTTCGTTTTGCTATTCTAAACGTGCGTCCATGCGCGAGCAAAATCGCAAAATCCATTTGACGCCGCTCTGTGTAGAGAGTGAAATTAGGCTACTCCCCCCCCCCCCCCCTTGTGAGCGAAGTCGTCAAAGCAGCTGAAACTCGGACGATGATGACGAGGGTTATCACCAGTGCACATGCTCTTCCATGCCATCACTACCATATCGGACGAGATTCCAGCCTCGATGATATCATCGACCCCCACAAACTCTTCATCAAACTTACGAATGCACGGAAATTCATATGGCGCACGCAATCTTGCAGAATGAAAATTGTAGGTTTCCGCTGGTATGTGCAGCTCAGCTGATGTTTTTTGTAGGAATAAAAAATCTTCAAATTTTTTGTTTTTTTTTGTGGGAAATTGCTGCTACCGTACCGATTAGAAACAAACCTCAAAGAACAGCACAACTTTCGCATGGAACAACATGGAATTGATGAAATCACTAAAGACATCAAAAATCACACAGGAATTTTCGAATATTGGTATCATAATTTTTTTTTTCGAAATGGTTTGGTATAAGCGACTTTATGAATTTTCAAATATGATTTTCCAAAATGAAACAATAACCATTTTTATGAAACTGTACTTTGAAAAGTCTACTTTTGGATTAAAAGTATTTTTTGAATTCGTTATTTTATTGTTTGAAACTTCTCTGAAGTCAGGGTGCAAATGTCGGGCGACTACTGAAGCGGAAAATTTCATTAGATTTTTCGACTGTTTCTTTTTTTTAAATTTCGTTTCCGCATTTGATATTTCAAAATTCGCTGTAAAAAAGAAAAAGTCCGAAATTATTTCATATTTCTTACCAAAGATGCCAACTCATTTTTTGATCAATTTTTTTCTTTCACATAGCTTTCCATTTCTTTTGTTACCAGCCACAATCACATTAAATTGCTCTATAAATAGTCAGTAGCTAATCATTCAGTCATTTATCCATTTATTTATTATTTATTTATTTACTCATTTTCAATCAATCATTCATTCATTCATTCTCATTCATTCATTTATTCATTGTTCATTCATTCTATCATTCATTCCTCATTCATTCATCCATTCATTTATTCACTCCTTCGTCAATCATGTTCATTCAAGTTCAGCCACATTCATTCAGTTTCCTTTCATGTTCACTCATGTTCATTCATGTTCAATCATTCATTCGTTATGCTCACATCTACTCGATTTTTTCGCTGCAAGACCAAGTGTCACTTGTTTTTCGCGCAAAATGCAATATAAGAGTAAATCTCCTTGTTTATTCCTTACACGAACGATAATCCTAGCGAGCTCTGTGGGGCTTGTTTTGCTGCTTTGTACAACATTTGATTAATGTTCTCAGTCAAACAAACATGTGTCTCACCTGGAAATCGAGCCTATTCACCAGGGACACAAAACGCACCGACAGCTGGTGTCGAACTTTTAAACGGGAGTTTTTTCGCTAGCTTTCGGATGACTACAATCAGTCATTCGAAGATCGATGAGCCGAGCAAAAACAACTTGTGCTTTTTTTGCGAGAAAAACAAACACAGCTGGCTGTATCGAGACGAGTTTTCCAACAAACTGTGGTTAGCAAATTGTAAAGAATGCTTGAAACAGGGAAATCTTAGAAAGATGGGGAATAAGCATTTCTAAGCAGAAAAATAGCCTCGAATAATTTCATAATCGTGAATTTTAGATTTTTCTCACTATTTTTTTCCCCAAACAACTTTATCATTCTTTTTTTTTCAAATTCAATGGTCAAAGAGATCATTTTATTGCAGCAGATAACTATTCCCTGATCATCGTGTTTCTTCCCTCATAGCAAAAATTCGACATCAAAAGAAAACCCAAAAAGTGATTAAAAAATTTGAGATACGTAGACCCAAGAATTTCCAGAATTTCGTAGCTTTTACTTCATAAACTTTAATTCGTGTTAGATCATCCAAACTGTACAAAAAAAGCCGTGAATTTTGTCTTTTGGTA